CTATTTCTATGTTATATTCAACATACACAGACAAAATTTTGTTTACATCTAACTGATCTATTAATGTAGGGTATTCAGGAGAATAAGGATCAAAGACTCTAAAATTGTGCTATTGTTATTTTCAATGAATAAATGAAAAATCTTAATAAATCAATTGATACATGTTTAAAAGATCATCATTAAAGAAAAAATTTTAAACAGTGTGTATGTTTTGTGTTGTGTATAGTATTCATTGATGTCTGCCAACCGATATTATGTTTCGTTATAACATCATACACAAAAAATCGATCGATACCTGTCTGCAAGGGTCCAAAAAAGTGATTCCTTTATTGATTAATTTATGAAATTTATATTTAGTACTTGCATTCAATAAAATATAATATATTTAATAAAAAAGATACAAAATAGTTTTGGACCCCTGAATATTTAAAAAATCTATCCTCTTTTACCAGAGAACAGATGTAAATATAAATTAAAGAGCAAATTCTAAAGTTACAAGCGCAACATTGTTGTACTCACTATTATTGGCCATTAGATTCTCTCGGAGTTTATATCTTTCACCTTCCAAGACCTCTCCCAAATATGTTGCAACTTTGCGGGTTACTTGTTCAACGTAGATATCAAGTTTCCCCAGATCATCAGACAAACCCACCAATTGATCCAACGTTCCAACTTTCAAATTTGGGATATGGAATTTATAGTTAATCGATAAAGAGTGTTGTTTGGATGTCAAATTGTTTAAAGTTTCCCATGTCTCGTGACATGTTTTGTCTCCCGGTGCGGATATCAACCAATATTCTGTCATTTTGAGGTAAATATCCTACAATTTCTGCAATAGAAGATTTTATAAAATAAAATACATTTCCCATCACAAATTATAATACATCAAATCTTTACCAATCAATTTCATAATTGTCTACATTTTCAATAACCATCTCCTTATACTATTATATTTGTTGCAACTTCAACAACTATTAACTAGTTGTTCTTATACAAAGGTATTGACAATTTATCCTCTACAGTACTAACTACAGTAAAACTTTACATATTCGCTTTAATTAAAATTGTCTATTACCATTACAAAGTGTCTTAAGCCGGCTGATAATAATTTTTAAGAGAAAAATTATCTCAGAATAATTCAAATTGAAGTTTTATCGACAACCACCTGTTTCATCCTTTCGATCCATGTTCGTCTATCGGTTTGACGTACAAACGTATGATCTGAGGCGCATTGTTCATTGAACCATTAGACGAACGTGTATAATGTATAGGATAGCATAAAATTCAGGTCCGAATGATTGCTCGAAAGCCTCTTAACTTGTAAAATGTTAAATAAAAGAAGGGGGTGTGGCACAGTGTGTTTCTTCGACAATGATATTATGTAATTAGGCGCGCTTTCCACGTGACATATAGTTAGTGCAAGAATGGCGCGCTGAGCTTGTATAGTGATCAATATAGGAAAGTGACAAGTGTACCACGAAATTGCATACGGAAACGGATGCCCTTGAATTGTCGTTGGCCATACCAGAACATTGCTACGATATCAGGCTTATTATCGAAACGATTTAATGGCGTCCGTTAATAAACTGCTGGTAAAATCAATAGCATGGCCCTCCTCCTTTGAAATGCGTCACACATTCGCCTCCGAATTAAAAGGAAGCTTGGGTGTCACGCGTCGCGTTAAATGTCGATGAAATAATATATGTCCGAAAAGTTTGACAGAAACTTTTTGACACCTTCTGATGGCAAGACACGAATCAATGGTTCTTTATCGTTTGATAAAAAAAAAAGAGAAAATTTCGCCTTAAACATCGATTCGTCTATTATAGAGAAACGAGCGGTTTTCACTCACCAGATATCCCGTATTGCACCTGTACTCGGAGAAGACAGCAGATGCTTGAATTTCTCAAGAAATTCAAAACATTCGCTGTTCCAAATCACTCTTCGTCGAAACCATCAGAAACCATTGTGACCTCACGTGATGACAATTGTGTGCTGCTGCCTTACGACCCGCCCGGCAACTAAAACAAACTGAAACGGAGCATCATCAGCTGACTTGTGATCTGCTACAACGATCGTGTATTGTTACCACTACACTCGATACTTTCGTATTCAGCTTCCGATCAAATGTTAAATTAGATTTTCGTTTATTCGTTGCTTGTTTCGTTTGGATCTATAAAAATTAATGGTAAATCACGGCGTATACGTTTTTCTTAAGTATTCAGTATGAATTATGTTTATTATGGAAATAATTTAATTACGAGAGAGAAGTTGGTAATACTGATTTTCATTTCCTTGGACTGACTCGATACTATTAAATACTATACAAGGGTTCTCAATCCTTTTTTATCGGCATTCCAAAATTGGATTTATTTTACATGAATATAGAATAATCCGTGGATTAATATGAAAAAACTGACGGAATAATTATAATTGGTTAATGTTGTGATATGTAATAATAAGAGTATCGTTTTTTCTTGAAGAAAGCGATTTATGGCGTTTGAACAAATATATTACTTGTTAGAGGTCACTAATGACCAGGTTGAGAACGCCTGTTACAATCCATAATAGTGTTTGACGTAGATTTTGTTAGACTCTGATACGTTTCAATTGTTGATTTTACTTATCGTTCGTTATGGGTTGTGATGGTGGAACTATTCCTCGTAGAAATGAGTTGGTCAGAGTTAAAAAGAAACCAGAACAGGTAACTTTTATGTTTTGTGCTGTGTACGAAGTATAAATTTTTACATTGTATGTAAAATCTTTTGTGAGCATTGTATAAATTTTCATCGTATTTAAGAATTTTGTATATTGTTGGAATTACAATTTTATAATATATTTTGCAACACATTTATTTATTGATTACTTTTAGAAAGATAAAGAGGCAGAATTGGCATTTAAATGGAGACATTGTACAATAAAACAATTGCCTTTGCAACCACCAGTGGTTGGATGTGCTTTAGGTCGTTTGTATAGCAAGGAATCTGTTTTGGAAGGTCTCCTTGATAGAAGCATACTACCAGAATCAACACAGCATATTAAAACCTTAAAGGATGTGAAAAATTTGAATTTAACTGCGAATTCAGCATTTGAAGCTAATAAAGCTGAAAAAGGAGATTGTTATACAGATGGAGGCAAAAGCCCATACATTTGTCCAGTTATTGGATTAGAAATGAATGGAAAATATAAATTTTGCTTTCTATGGTCTTGTGGTTGTGTGATGAGCGAACGCGCACTTAAAGTAATCAAGAGCAATGTAAGTAATAACGTTAAAAGTATTAAAATGATTATGAATTATAGATAAATTATTTGTATGGTAAAATGGTTGTAATGTTTTTGTTCTTCAGATATGTCACCAATGTCAGCAACCATACAATGAGACAGATATTGTTATTATAAATGCGGAAGGAGATGACCTTAAAAAAATGGAGGAAAATATGACAAATAGGAAGGCTGTTCAAAAGAAATCAAAAAAACACAAATGTGAAAGTATTGAAACTGAAGTTGCAAAGCAAGATGAAGCACCAAAGAAGAAAATTAAGAAAGAAGATAAAGTTGGTAGCATTAAAATCAATAGTAATAGAAGCGAAGCAGAAGACCCAGCATATAAAAAAGTTAAAGACAATTATAGTGTCGCTAAGGATCCCAAAGCATCAGAAGTTTTTAAAAGTATTTTCACCAGTCATAAGTCTGCAGCAGAACAAGATAGGGCTCATTGGGTTACATACAATCCATTCTATAATTAAAGTATTAATTTCAATGTAAAAATCTTGAGATATGTACAATATAGCTGAACACACAAATAACATTATATACAGATAAAATTAAAATATATTACAGAAAGTGAAATGTTTCTACATGGCTAAATAAATAGTTTTATATGTAAAAGGAATGGTCTTATTATTTCTATTATTTTTTCAACTATTCTTATTATCTATCTTATCAAATATTAACTAAAAATGAATAACTGTATTATTACACATATGTTTGATAAAACATATTAATCGTATATCACAAGTTAATAAACACTGGAAGATGAACTTATATTACAATTTTTATGTATATGCTTGTTTGGTACGAGCAAGTATGTATTTCATAAATTTAACGATTAAAATACTCACTGAAATATACATATAAACATATAAAATACTATTAATGCTAATTCCAAAACTAATTCTTATAATTTATTGGAAGTATAAACTTATATTTATTTTATTTCAGTAATGTAGTTTTTATATATTCATTTACGGTGAATTTATATTTCGGCTTACTTTATTGAAGCGATTAAACAAAGAACTAATATAGCATTATAGGGATTTGTCATTATTGTACATGTATGTCGAACGGAAATACTAACATGTCCAGAATGAATTAGTAACATAAAATTTATCAAAATAAGTTATATAATTTGTTAATTTACGTTGAGTACTGTATGTTTAAAGGCACGTAACATAGTTTATTTTCTAAGCGTTTACCACAGATAATCGAACATTATCTTGCACCGGTTGAGGATTTCTCAAATACAAAATCACATTTGAGGCACTCTGCGCACAGAAATTGTTTGAATAACTCTGCGTAATCTACCGACTGCTCGTTTTCTTCGAGAATGCCTTTTTGATATTAAGCAATTCCATTGGTTTAATAAATACAGAGCAATACTTCCTACGATAATTATACCTGCCATGTAACTCCACTTACTTGTAAATAATTCACTATTATTTTCGTCACTTTGTTCTAATTCATCAATAATATTATTCCGTTCTGCATGGTGCAGTGTAGGAATGTTTGCACCGACTCGCCGTCTGAGCCATAAGGGACTTGTATCTTGTAACACTGGATTTACCGCGACTATCGTATTTCCTACAGACAGCAACTTCTGAGGCTTATAAAGATTTCTGAAATAAAATGAAACTTCTTGTACATGCGATCATTAATACAGCAATTGAATACAAATTTCACAAATTATATAACTACTTACATAGAAACAGACTCGTTTAATGGTTTTGGAATAGCAAGTGTAATGGTAGGGCAAGACGGAAGTGGTCGAATGTGACCAGTGTTAGTACTCTCAGGTAACAACACTTTACTATGACGTCTTAAATGACTTCCTTCCATACGCTGTGGCAGTTCATTGTTGTCTAAAGTCGTAGGTTTTTCCAAGATTCGTGCTTTGGTCTGACTTTCATCAGTGAAAACCGTAGCAACGTGACCCGTCGTTGTATACTCCAATATAGCGTCAAGCATCCAAAAACAAGCTAAAAGAGCGCGATGTTAATAAATTAAATACATTCATGAAGTTAATGATCATTTTTAAATCATACGTTTTTGTAAGTGGCTGTCATCGATACAGTTCGAGTCTCCATACACTACTATTCTTCCTGGTACTATCTGATCTTTTATATTAGTTCTATCTACATTTTCTTCATCCCCCACTAAATTCTTATCATTATCATTATATACTTTTTGAAGATCCTTATAACCACTTGTTTGGAAAAGTCCGAGAATTGGCATGGACATCGTAAATCTTGATTCTGATTCTATTAAAAGTTCTTGCCCTTGATCGTGCAGTTCTACATAAATAATGATTCCACCTTTTGGAAATCTAAACGGATTAAATAGGAATATATGAGTCTCACATAACAATCGTTTAACTGTTCTTTATGAGTAATTGTATCTTTAGTAACACCATACCGTGTGATTGTAGTACCAGATGCAAATGTTACAGGAGAATGTTGACCGAGAGTAAAGTGGCCATTACGTACTTGGTCTCCAAACGCTATGCCCCAATTAGGGTATAGTAAATCATTTAAAGCTGGTATATTTGCACCTCCTGTGTCTGGTATCCACCATTGTCGAGTATTTTCATCATAAAACTTTACTTTCCTCATAACGGTGACATTATACCAATCTGCGAAGACAATTACAGAAAGACCTTCTTCTTCTACATCCCTTTTTAATTTAGAGACCTGAAAGATGTGTATCATTGTTCATTAACGTAATGAAATACTATATAATAAACATTACTATACATGTTATACAATGCGAATACCTCTTCAGGGAAGAATTCTTCTTCCGTGTCCACGATGAGCAAAGTACCATAGTTTCTAGCATTAAAACAGGTGAACGGTGCACCAAGTACTTCTAAATAATAACCAGCGTTTCGTAGATGTTGATACATATCTTTAAAGTTAGTATGGATGTGGTCACCATTCCAATCTAGGGGATCATTCTTCGCGCGTAAGTCATCTCGCGGAAAATATCCGGGAGGATAACGTAAATTATGGTACTGATCCCATAAAATACGTTTACTAGTATATAAATATTATTTTGTTAATTCCGTTGAATATACATTTATATATCTTGTAACAATATCATGAAATTTTATATACTTACTGTCGAGGGGGTGTAGGAATAACTTTTGCTTTCAAGGGTAATTCTATTCTAGATTGTCTTGGTATTTCCTCTCCATCACTCGGTGGTGATTCAATTGTAACCGATATATGACCTGTATACACAATTAAATATTTTAAAAAATTGTTTTCTTTTCTTTAGTAAAAAAAAGGCAAGTAATTAAAATATTTTTAACCTTGAGCAATGCCTTGCCAATCGCGAGCAGAAGGTGGTACTGTTATTGCGACCGCTAACCAACCTGACCATGGCCAAAGAAGATCGCTATAAGTTACTGATACGTCGATTCGTTCTCCATTTCCATTACCATTGTATGGATGCCATACAAGATCTGCTACGTGACCAGATACTCCCAAGCCGTTTATTATAGTTATATTTACAATTGTAGGCATTCCAGTGTGATATACAGCTTGCGTACAATACGGCCACATATACTGACACTCGGTCAAATCTATATAACTAATGACATACTATATATTATTTTCTGGTATAATGGGTATCACAATATAATATAAAAGATGAATTACCTTGGACTTAGAGTAGCAACCGGTGTATAGGAACGGAGAAAATGAAATGCTCGTAACAGATCCAACTTACCCGCCCCTTGTTCAAACATTCCTACTCCAGGCAATCGACGCGCCGACCCAAGCAATGCTTGCTTCATGCTTGCAGGAGTAACCTTTTAAAACATAGATAAAAACATAGGTAAATGAATTAAATTTTCTATTAAAAATACGATTCTGAAATAATCGATATTTAGAAAAGTGTATTTAATATATAATTACCCTTTGTTTAATAGTTTGAGATCCATCTGTTTGGACAAATCCACTAGCTAGCAATGCAACAGCTCCTGCTACAACAGGACTGGCAACTGAAGTTCCAGATAATGTTCTGCAACCTGTTTGTAACGCAGATCCTCGTACTCCTGATCCATATGTAACTAAATCAGGTTTCACTCTTCCGTACCCAGATGGTAATTCCCATGTTGTCATTCCTCTTGATGAAAATCTTGCTATTTGATCTTCCCAATTGATTCCACCTACTCCGATGACATCCATTTGATCCGCAGGATTATTCAATGTTCTACATTGAATAAGAGTCAAATCATTTTAAAAGTATAATTTTGTAATAAAAAAAAATTAAACTTTATACTTACCCATATAAAGGTCCGTCATTACCAATAGCAGATACCATAATTACACCATTTGCCGTCAGTTCCCATACTTTATCAACAAATGGATGATCCATAAAATCTGGTCCTCCAATGCTCAGATTTAATACTGTGACTTTTGTAAGAATAGCATAATTGAATGCATCCAGGAACCATGAAGTATATGATACCTATAGATAGCAGGCATACTCTTAAATGTTAATGTTCAGGGAAATGCAAATATAAAAAGATAATAATAAGGATACCTGAGTGTTGGTAAAAACACGAAAAATATGAAGTTCTGCATCTGGTGCAAATCCAAGGCAATCCATGCAAGAAGATGCAATAACTCCAGCTACAAATGTTCCATGACCCAAACCATCTTCTAATGTCTTTTCATTAGTCCAGTTAGAACGTTCTTTAATCTTTTTAAAATGTGGATGACTAACTGCTAGTCCCGTATCAAATATTGCTACCTAATAAATATGATATATACAACAACCAGTCCTTGATTTCATTTTGACAAGAATCTTAAACTGTATTGTTCACCTTAACACCATTTCCAGTAACTCCCATTCCCCACAAAGCATCAGCTTGAAGTATGCTTGTAATCTGCCTTGGAATAGCTCTTAATAATCTACGTGATGTGTGACGATTGCTCGATTGCCAAAATTGGTTGTTCTAAAAGCCATATTAATTAACATATTTTCAAACAGATATACTCGTATGGAACAATATATAAGTAACTTGGAATTTTATATCTCACATAATTGTTGATTTTCCTTTTAAAGTTTTTATATTCTGGGAAATCAGCATCTTCTGATGCATTGACAAATTTTAAGCTTCTCTGAACAAGTCTCTGTGGAGTTACCCTTCTAATAAGAGGATGTTCAGTTAAAGCATCAAGGCCATTGTATTTATCTGTTTCTTCCAAAAGTACAACATCAAAATCACTAGGGAAATTACTGGCCAAATTATCACGAAATAAAATTTTCCACTTATAAATTCCGGATGAATTTAATGCGGCTCTTATATAATTTTCACGTGAATGTGGTTTATAATATCCCTTAAATGCAACAATATATTCATTCTTAACAATACTGCTCGCAAAATGAACTTTTACTTGTTCTGGATCATTGCCATGGCACGATAATTTGCTGACATTAGGTATTTCAGGACTGATAGAATTGTTATATTTATCTAAACAATTTACTTGATTGTGTAATATTTTAGTTCCAATACCAAGTAACAATAAAAGGATATATAGCCAGCATGTATGTGGCTTCATACTATTAATGTCAGCTGAAAAATATATATTAACGTTAACTCTAATTGTAATATATGACTATTAGTAAATAAGAAATAAGATTATCAAAACACCATTCAATTATATCTACATCTTTATAATACTTCTTTTTTATTGATTTTCATAATGACTAGTAGTTAATTCGAATTATATAAACATAATTGTCTATGCAGTTTTGTATGACTTACATGCAGTGGAAAGGCATAATTTATTAAACAGTATTATTCATTATCATGTTTCTTCCTAATATTTTAGTGAAACAAAGAGAAGTTTCATATCCTTTTGTTTAGTTAACTTTTATGAAAACTATAAACGATTCAGAGACGTTTCTTTTTTATTGTCAAAATTTTGTTTTTGATGTCATAACCTCAACGTTCTCAAAATAAAGTTTTGCTTCGATTGAAAAATTGGGTTGTTCCAAATATGCATTTTTTCCCAATATTTTCATCACATTCCTCACTTCTCTGCAGTGTAATGAATATACTTTATTGCGAATAAATTATGCTTGTGAACGACGAAAAAACAAATCATAATGCACTGCTTTATCACACTGTTTACAGAACTTCACATTGCCCAGTAGTGATGTTTAGTATCAGAAGCTTAAATGTTTGTATTATCTATTGACTGATATCAACAATTACGACAAATCAATTGTGTTTTATGTGTTATAAAGATTTATTGTACAAAAAAGTAGTTGTTTATGTGAAGATATATTGTGTAAATTCTTCGGGTGCAACTTATCAAGGTAAGCAATTTACGCAATAGTTTAACCTCTAATATAAATCCCCTTTTAATAAATATATATTTCATACGTGCATACAACTTAAAATTGATGAGTTTTCAGCGAAAATCAACTAAGTTTTCCATGATTTAAAATATATAATTGTAATATTATTTGTGTACGTCATGCTGTCAAATGTGTAATTCACATGACAGCTGATTATGAAATGTATATAATAATTATATGACTGTTTACATAGAATTTTTTGATACTGTGTTCTTTTCTTAAACAATTTTTATAAAAAAAATTATTTTTACGTTTATATTTTGCATTACTATTTTGCATTTGGTTTTTAATATATTATAGTGTTTTGTCTATATATCTTATAGTATTGTGAGCTCTGATATGGATGAAGAAACTGAAATTGAAATTAATTTATCATCGCTGAGTCACAAAGATAATGCAACGGTCAATGAAGAAAATACAATAGCATCGGTAATCATAGAAGAACTGGATGAAAATGCTCTTAGTAATATGAATGTAGATATGACAGAGTTTGTTGAAGCTAAAGCTTTGGAGATTCAAGATATAACACAAGACATAATATCAGATACATATATCGAGCAAAATAATGCTGTTATGGATATTACAACAGATACAGAAGATCAAGATATTTTAATGACAGTAGATGAAGAAGATCAATTGACAAAGCAGTTTTTAAATGGAGAACTAACATTTTCTGAATATTCATCAAGAATGGATCAAGATATAGATTTAGAAACTGTAGAAGCTGACCTTTCTAGGTAGTACTCCAATAATTATGTTTATCTTTTTATATAAAGTATGTAGTAATTAATTGTCCTATGAATAGAAATGAAAATGAAACTGACGACATAGGAACAAATAAAATTATTCATCGAAGAGGACCAAGAGGACGTTATAAAAAGAAAAAAAGGACACTTCCCCCAGCTTTACAAGGTCTTATGGGTGAGGCAAATTTAAGATTTGCTAGAGGGGAAACAGAATTAGCTGCTCAAATATGTATGGAAATAATTAGGCAAGTGTTTAATACAAAATGAAAACTATCTGTTACTATATGATTATACCATGGAACAAGATAAATATTTGACTTTTCTTCAGGCAAGTGCCAAGTGCTCCAGAACCATTTCAAACATTGGCAATGATATATGAAACAGATCAACCAGAAAAGTCATTACAATTTGCCTTAATAGCAGCACATCTTAGTCCAAGAGATTCTGATCAATGGGTGAGATTAGCGAACATGTCAGTAGAAAGTGGAGACATTAAACAAGCAATAACATGTTATAATAAAGCAATTCAAGCAAGTCCAAAAGACATAAGTTTATACGAGTCCAGAGCAGAACTTTTCGAAAGGTATGGTGATAGAAAAGCTTATCTAAAAGGATATTCAAGATTAGTTCATCAGTTGGAGCCTGAAGATGGAGAAAATGTAATTAAGTATGCAAAAATGTTAGCCAAACGTTTTATGGAAGAAAATAACAATGAACAAGCATTAGAAGCTATGGAAAATATTTTTTCTAAATGTCCTAAGTTTATTACTTTAGAAGAAGTCAATATAATGACTGAAATACTAATAGCACTGAAAAAGTTTAAAAGGTGTCTAAACATTTTAACTACGTATACAACTATTTGGGTAAAATATAAAAACGTTAGTGATCAGAATTCTGCTACAGTAATTAAAAAATCTGTAAATGAAAAGAAAGATGAATCAGAAGATCAAATAATAGGCGAAATAGAATCTTGCGGAATGCCGAATGATGTTGCTGTAGATCTGAAAGCAAAGTTTCTTGTAACGCTTATTGAATTAGATCAAATACAATTAGCAGAAAAGCTTCTACTTAAATTCTATTTACAGGAAAACCCAGAAATTTCTGGAGACCTTTTCCTAGATATAGCAGAAACTTTAATGGGAAAAAGAGAATTCGAACGTGCTTTACTATTATTAGACCCATTAGTAAATAGTAGTAATTACAGTTTAGCTGCTGTTTGGTTACGACACGCAGAGTGCTGGGTTGGTTGTAAAGATTTAAAGAAAGCAATAGAATCATACGAGGTTGTAACAAAATTATCATCTCAACATTTAGGTGCAAGAATAGCATTAGCTAAACTGTACCAATTAAAAGGTCAATATAATAAAGCAATAGATATTCTTAATCAGGATCCTGAATCTGATACTTTAGATCCTCAAGTAGTTTACAGAAGAACGTTACTTCTTTGTAAGGTAAAGAGATACAATGAATTTTTTCAGTCTGGTATGCTACTTTTTTCTAGACATTGTGTCCATATAAGGAACAAAGTTGAGTTAAGTGCTATAACAAGACCTTATGGAGTACAGCGCCGTATAGATTCATTGAAACTTCATCGGTTATCGCGTGGAGAAAAATTTGAAGAGGAAAACGCCCCCATATTTCTCAGTTCTACAGAATTAAGTGAAAAAAGTGAATTCTTTTTGCTTTTGCAAATGTGCAAAATGGCTTGTAAATTAAAAAGATATGGTTTACTACAAAGGATTTGTTTGAGTGCTTTAACATCAAAAAAATTTGAAAAGAGGAATGCACATGTTATGTTTTTATGCTCTCTGGCCTGCATTTATAACAATGATTCTTATCATGGATATAATATTGTGCGACACTTACTACGGATTTGCCAAACTCCAAACTCTTGGAATTTATTAAATATCATTGTTCAGAAAGCACAAGATTCTAGACATAATAGATTTATAATGCGATTACTTGGAAGGGAAGATGTATTTTCTTATGTACACGTAATGCACGCAAATAATTGTCTCGTTTCAGCAACATATAAATACGCTCTTAATGATTACATTTCACTTTTTAAAGTAGCGCCTAGTGCGTTATTAGCATTACTTATTGGTATAACTTTATTTCAAATGGCATGCCAGAAATCATCTGCCAAAAAAAATCAACTTGTAATTCAAGGTAAGTATATTTCACGATAATTAAATCATTTAATATTATTATTTACTACACATATTTATGAAGACTTATATTGTATATTACAAATACTTTCTACATTACTTTATTTTAGGCATCGCTTTCCTAAAAAAATATTGTCAGTTGCGGGGTGAGGATGGTAGACAGGAAACGTATTACAACATGGGTCGTGCTTTTCATCAAATTGGTTTATTACCAGCAGCTGTACATTTTTATAAATTGGTGCTTAATGAGTACCCTGGAGATTTAGTTAAGAAAAACTCACATATTCTAGACTTAAATCAAGAAGCAGCCTTTAATCTACATCTGATTTACTTACAGTCAGAAAATTATTTATTAGCTAGAATGTATCTTGAAAATTACATTACAATTTAGTTTATTGTAATTGTTGTACGCCATTGTTTTTATATACATTTATATTATTATACAGTTTAGGTATATTGTAAAAATAAATTATAAAATTAATTATAAGATGGATTGTAATATTGTAAATAAATGTGCTAATACTTTTGTATAAAATTAAATATTTGGTCACGTTCCACTTGACTCCTACATTCTAAATTTATTTTACTTGGATAAGGTGGATATATTTAGTTTAATCAATTATTATTTTTTTTCCAGCTCAACAAATGTAATGAATACGACACTGGCAGAGAAAATTAAATTTAAAGAATTGTGCAATATATTGGAAGAAGTTTCCAAAGCACATACTACTAAAAAAGCTGAGATTTTAGAGAGGTTCATGCAGCGATGTCGTTTTATTAGCCAAGAATTGAAAATACAGTGTCCTGATGCGGTATAATTATGCACCTTATAATTAGATTTTATGAATAATAAATAATTGTTACTTATAGTCTTTTTTTAATTTTAGGACATCTCAATTTTCCCCCTATTAAGATTAATTTTACCTGATCTGGAACGAGAACGTGGGCCTAACAAATTAAAAGAGAAATCTCTTGCCGATCTTTACATTCGTGTATTTTGCTTGGGTAAAGGCCAAGAGGCAATTAAACTTATGCAATATAAGTAAGATTATTACTTCCTCTATTCTTCTTTTTAATGTTGTAAAGTAAAATTATTAGACAAACAAAACTATTTTAGAGTCCCAAGGATAGAAAAGAACCCGGGTCGTGATTTCGCAGAGAAAGCGAGCTGGATTCTGCGAAACCATTTGCGACGTGAAGCCTCAGGCATCACCATAAAGGAAATTAATTTATTTCTCGATGATATATCATCGAGAACTGAAAATAATCAACGAAAGGATGAAACATTTAAAATTTTATTAGGGAAAATAGATGCGTTAGAGTTTAAATGGATCACACGAATAATTCTTAAAGATTTAAAATGTGGTGTTAGAACAAAGAGGATACTGCAAGGTTCATTTTCTTATATTATAATTTATTTTTTGTACTGGTTTTATTGATATCTTCCCTGTTTTAGTTATTCATCCAGATGCAAATTCTTTATTTGATGTGTCATCAGATTTACGTCAAGTCTGTGATACATTATACCATCCTCATACAGGATATCATCCTCAATTGAGGCATCATCATGATATCAAAGTATTTTCTCATTTTAAACCTATGCTTCTGGAGAAATGTAAAATTGAGGATATTAAGAAACTTTTTGTCAGTGGTGAAAAGTATTTTGTGCAATGTAAATATGATGGTGAACGATCTCAAATGCATATGAAAAATGGCAGGTATAAATATTTCACGAGACAAGGATACGACATTACAAATAATCCTGGTTATGGTGAAAACAGTTCTTCAGGTATAGCTAAAAGATATTCAAAGTCTGCTGCAATTTATGTTTCTGGCAAGTTCTATTACTTTAGGTTTTATGAGCAGTGTATTTAGTCGACTTTTAAATCCATTATGTACATCAATAATCCTGGATGGTGAATTAATGGGTTGGCATAAAGAGAAGAAATTGATGGGTTCGAAAGGAATGAATTTTGACGTTAAAAAATTATCAAATAACAGTCATCATCAGCCATGTTTTATTGCATTTGATATCATTATGTACAATGATACTTTGGTTGTCAATGAACCATATGTAAAACGGCTGAAAATTTTAAAAGATGCAATTAAAGAAGAAGTGGGTTCTTTAATGTTATGTGAAATTAATGAAGTTTCTACAAGGTATGATTAAAACACAAAAGTCTTTTTTCTCAAATTACAATTTATGCACATAATTTAATTATTCTGTGAAAAGTGAAGATGTATGCCGATTGTTCAATACAAGTATGGAAAATAAAGAAGAAGGATTAGTCGTAAAAAAATGTGACAATAAATATAAACCAAATGTACGAGATGGTAGTGGTTGCTATAAAATAAAAGCAGAGGTAGTACTTTCTCTATAGGTATATGTATCCATTATCGTTGTTTCTTTATTTATACAATATAATATTGCAGTATTCGGATGGCCTGGTTAACGATGTAGACTTGATTATTCTTGGTGGATATTATGGAGAAGGAAAATTTATGAATTTAATAAAAAGTTTTCTGGTGGGAGTGGTTTCCCCACCAAATATACCAGGAGAAAATCCAACAAAATTTTTATCTGTTGTATCTGTAAGCAATGGTTTTTCCATGGAAACATTAAAGGATCTTTGGAAAAAATTTGAAAAAAAATGGAAAAAAAAATGTCCTGGGAATGTAATTCCACCCAGAGTAAGTTTATTTGGTAAAAATATTTTTAAATATAATTTTTAAAATATGTTTACTTAATATAAATACATATATGCCAACTGGTGACGATTTGTTCCTACTCTCTGTTATATGTGTACACGTGTACTTATATATATGAATCTGTGTGATTCATTGCTTCCAGATCTCACAATTTAATAATAATAGATATGTTTAAGTATGATACTTTTATTTTAATGTTTTTTTAGCGTGAACCACCAGATTTGTGGATTTGCCCTGAAGATTCAATAATTATTACAGTAAGGGCAACAGAGCTGACACGAAGTAATAATTATCAAACAGGATACAGTTTGAGGTTTCCTAAAGTCATAAAGATTAGATATGACAAACCATGGTATAGTACTTGCACAACTACAGAATTGTTATCCTTCGTTAAAGTATGTGCATTTTAATCAATGTTTCTCCAATTTCACAATACATTTGTACATATAGTGTATTTTATGTCTACTTAGGATTCCCGACCAATTCACAAGCTGACAAAGCGGAATGTAGACCATGATGATATAGAAGAAGTTCCCGAAGTAAAAATGCACAGACCAGCAAAACCACGTTTTCCAGTACTTGATAATAAGCCATCAAGACTTAATATTTATGAAAATCACCCAGTTTATTTAACACGACTTCTTGATGGTAGAAAGATCTGTGTGATAAATGGCGACAACGAATTGCCTAAAGAACACATTGAAAAAGTTCTTATGCAACACCGAGCGACACTTGTCAAAAACCCATTAAATGATAATTACTGTATTATCGTTGGTAACGTTAAAACGGTAAGAATGTTAATTTTTATTTTTCTTTTTCTTTGATAAAATTGTTACGTTAAGTTAATAAATTAAGAAATTGAGAACTTCAGGCACGGGCACAGAGCATTATACAAAGAGAAGAATATGATGTGGTAACATTAGAATGGTTCAAGCGTGTTGTCAAAGAAGAGAATTGGTCTTCGTTAGAAGATTTTTTTCCCTGGGAGATAATAAGTTGCCGTGAATCGACGAAATGTCGGCTGGCATGTTATTATGACGACTATTATGATAATTATTTTGCGGATGCAACCGAAGAAAGTTTGATACGTTCATTAGAAAAAGCGGGCGAAGAGGTATCATTTTACCTATTTAATTCTACAATATGAAGTATAAAATTGACAATAATAATATTAATATGTATAAATACCACTTTTTCAGGCAAAGACTATTGAACTCAGTCTTGGAGAAATGAAGAAGTTAGATCGCAAGTTATTCGACCACGGAATTTCACCTTATTCCATATTTAGAGAAATAGCGGGATACTTTGATAATCCATCAGATACATCCAAATATGCATTTCGTTTCATGGCAGGAATTGTTAAAGAAATCATCGACGATTCTGTGACACACGTATTCACCGACGGAAACTCTCTCAGTTCCGAATTAAAAAATTCAATGGACAATAAGTTACAGAGGCTTCCAACAATTGTCAAAAGTGAGTGGATTAGAGCATGTTTCATCCAAAACGAACTCATTCCAGTGAATGAATATCTGATCGAATAAAATATTAATATAAACTGGATGTTACATATGTCCTTAAGATGTAATATACGTGGGTACTGTTATATCATCCATTTTAAGTTAATGAATTTATTTGTAAAATAAATTTTGTAGAATCACTTTTCCTGTATATCAAATAATGTAAAATGGAAAATATAGTTTTGAAATCGTTTGCAAAGAGTGTTGTAGTGTTACGTTAAGTCTATTTGTAACATGGTCTCCGAAAATATATAGATTCATTTTGGCTGATATTTTCGTTAAGTGCTAAGAAACTGGGTACTACGCGGAGTGACAGTCGGACAGTTCGCTCATTTAACATCCCGTTTCAAAATATTTCTTCTCGGTTGAAGTCGACACCCTTACTAGTCTCGTTTTATTTCATCGGAATGCGTGCAAAATATGAGGCGAGAGGGACGCAGCTGCGACGTTTCCTTTACAAAGCCTGCCATTCAGAGAGATTCTCGAGCAGATTAAGATGAGAAGACAGAGGAAAAAGAAGATTTTGCTGTCGTGTAAACACCGACGCACCGTTCAACGTTTTTACCGTTACACGATTTTTCTATATAAACCAAGACCTAACGAACAAACTCGGAGTTACTTTTTACAACGATATATAACTTTCTTCGCCTATAAATTGCAATTTATTTACTAACTACTTTGACCATGAGATTAGATCACGGAAAATTAATTCCTAAGTTCTTTGTTTCAATACATTAATAAAAAGAGTCTTGTACAAAATTTCTACAGTTGATCTGCTACTTTCTAAATAAAATCAATTATCATAATATTGTCAAATGTATTGTTAATATTGTAACAGATTCAGTAAAAACAAATACGCATTACAATGTTAATGAGGTATATAGTTATCAAACAGGGTACACGTCCTATTAACCGAAACTGTTACCAGAACACAGGTACACGGCTAATCGAAAACAGAAAATCGCTTTTTCGTCGAGCAAATTGTAGCTGAAATTTTCATTGAAGATGTATACCGTGGCAACGCGTGATGTATGCATAGTGTTAACCATCGCGGATATCTCGTTAGCGTAAAGGAAGGTTTCGTCTACCGACTTGGAATATAATATATGAATATGACTGACGTCCGTGTCCGCTGAAGATTCTACTTATAGACTCTTCACCTACGGACACGACGCGTATTAATCGAGTTTCAGATTTTCCAACGCGCGTCCAACGGGACGCGTCACTCCTGCACGTCCAATTTATTCACGGCGTTTCACTGCTAACTCAGTACCTGCCAATTACGTCCACTCGTTACTGTTGTCCCTTGCGTTGCCATCGTTAAATTCACAATTAAACCGTCTTTGCTTCAATTCTATCTTTCCTAATGTCCGCGTATAACATTTCGATTACATTAGATCCTTATTAAGCAAGATCTAAATGGTCCTTAAACCATACCGTAGCAAATTCGTTTCTTCTATTCGAGCTTTTGAGAATTTTAAAGCAGATTTAGAACAAATTAGTTTCTATCTCGCCGAATTTTATCTTTCACCAGTTTTACCTTCACCTACTGTTTATCTTCTACAATAAAAAAGTCAAAGCAAGAATCGAGGAATGTCGAAGATATCCGTGAAGTCGTTTACGAGGATTCGTTTAGTCGAATTCGTAGTCCTACTCTCCGTTTTATCCTAAAGCGAACCACTCGCATAGAATCGCAGTAATTGGATCATACGATCTCTATCTCCGCGTCACCGACGAAGCTATTCGTTTTCTTCCTTCGATTAGATGGTCACTAATAAGCGCGCTCGAAGCCGCCCCACGTTATGTGACGTTCGTCCGCGTATGTCGTTCTGTTCTTCCCCCGTTCGTAGAGTCTCGGTAGCACCCTGTATGATCTATTTCTTAGTTCTCTGATGCTATTCGTCTCTTCTCTGAACATCCTATTACTATTTCTGAATAAGGCACGGGTGTTCCGATCGATGTTGCCTCCGTTGAAATCATAGCCTCGTCTAAAACTTAACGGGGACACCAAAGAAGTCGATGAAGTCGACGACGAGCTTGTCCGTCTTCGAGTTTTCCTTCTCCGCTTGTGACTGTTCGTGCAAGAAGAGGATGAGACCGATTCCCGTTTATGACAAACAGAGTGCTCGAACAATACCGTACAAGACGGACACCTTTTCCACGAGGGCAGACTCGATGGAGAAGAATGGTTGCAATTGTGTCGATTATTCGCTGTTGATTTGTAAGGACACCGGAAATCTACTTGACTATGATCAGAGCTCTCGATAAATTCCGAGGAAGTCGAGGAAGAATTCTCCACAGATTCCTCGAACTTTCGATCCTCCAGAGCCCTTGATCTTACAAATTTATCTCTGACTATGTTAGCGGACGGCTTCTTCTTATCCTGCAGAAGTGACGTCTCACATCTTATAAAATGCTTTTCATCAACTGCGGTGAGTTTCTGATTGAACATGGAATCGACAATCTTTTTCAACTTTGCGTTGTCACATAGAAAATTGCTCTTTTGCGGTTGCGAACTTTCATGGGGGATTTGACATTGTTGCTGCGGGGTTCCGTGGTTGAACTTCATTGAAGATTCTCTTTTAGAATTGCTCCACAGCGAACGACTGCGTCTTCTAGGAAGAAATTTCGAGATTAATGTACTATCTTCGAAAGTGAAGTATTTGTATTAATGCTATTAACTGACTTTGAGTCACAAGGACAATTTCTGGAGAGGCAATCGGATTGCTTTTTTTGGTTTATCGGAGCCGCAGGTTGTTTCATCGTGAATTGTTTTAAGCTGTATTTATCCTTTTCTTCTTCTGGAATGTTTTCAGTGTTAGATTCTTGTAATGACTTAATGTTAGTCGATTTGAGGTTCAATTTTGACTCGGCGCTTTTGCTAAATTTTAAGCGGTTCTTCGAAGACTTCTTTGAAATTTTAGGAGCACGTTTCCTTCTCAATTCCAGATACAGAATCGAATCCATGCAGGTATCTGTTATAATTGTTTCGGTGAAACTAGTTTCGCTTTGCGATTCTTTCCTGCTTGTCTTTGTAGAGTAATTGTATTTGTTTGAGTCGACGTTTTCAACCAATTCCTCGTTAGATACAGTTGGTTCGGATTTCGTGTTGTCTTCAAAAATGTTGTTCTTCATTTGTAAGTTTGAAATTTCACCGGTACAGACTTGCTCTGTCTCATTATCAGAATATTTCTGTTCCTTACAGGAAGCTTCAATATCTTTGGAAGACATCTCAGTCACATTGGCATTGACAAAATCGTACGAGCAATCGATTGACGTGTTCTGTTTTTTATCTGCTTCGTCTGTACATGATTTTGAAGCCACGTCATCCGTACATTTGGCGGTTTCTTGCAGAATATCTGTTTCCGTTTCAACGGATCTAACATTTTTACTTAATCTATTACAGTGACAACCATTTTGAATATTGTCTTTATGCGAGTCTCTGATTTTTGTATCTTCAATCTCCACATTTGTAACGTCTGTATGACATTTCGCTTTGTCAATATTATTTGCACGATTCTGCATTTCGTCGTTTTCATTCCCAATGCAAAATTTCCAGAAGTTATTCACATTATCCTGGGAAACACGCGTGCGGACAAAAGAATACTTCTTTCTTCTCTTCAGCAGCTTCTTGGCGCAAACGATCCCACTACAATGGCGGAAAAGACAACGTTGGCATAATCGCTTTCTTCTTATGTTAGTCATCGATTCTGTAAACTGATTTAATGTCAATTTTAGAATTACCTTCGACACATTGGTAACTGTGCAACAACTAAAAATGTACACCATTTCTTAACACGTTGAATGCCATAGGGGGTCACCGGTGACCCCCGCCCAAATTCAGTGACTGCAATTTCCTCAATTAAACGATGATTATTTGAAAACATTCTTATATTGTAATTAATACTACCTAATGTGGTGGCATGCAGCAAAACAAACCTGCGATAATAACAACGCAATTCAATTAAATAATTCAATATCGTATTTCTTTCATTTCGTATATTCTGCACCTTAAAATTATGCGGCATTCAACGTGTTAATTACGCGATAATATAGTTTATATGGTAAATATATTATAAAATAATTACGAACATTTGGAACACAGTATAGATCCTTGACTTTCGTATAATTGTATACTGATTTCGCGAAGAAATGATGGATTAATTACTAATACATCTAACGTTAGAGTACAGCTAGATTTTAGGTGGAATTAATTAAAACATACCTTGCTCTTTCGATTAAGCAGCGTTATATGACACGCACGATTTACGTTCGATATATCTGCAATCAAAGCAACCGTAGCGTGATCGATACGTGGCATAATTAACGCGATCCACGACGATAAGACTTACAGCAATTCGCTGGAGAAGTTGAAATTACCATTGTCATTGTTAAGAGGACCTTTCCCTAGCGCAGGTGCATTCTCCGAGATCGCTGGGTCGTTCTCGCGAAACCATTCCTTGATCCCAGCGTACCCTGAAAACCATCAACAATCAGTTATTAGGTGACAAGTATATTTGAACATTTACCGAAAACCTAATAACAGGCTTTTCAATAACTGTACCACATCAAAAATAAGTTTCACCATTTTCTTGTACATAATAATTTTAAGAAAAATCAAGGATAAGTAAATAATTGCCGGTAAATGAAGCGTTAATGAACTAATGCTAAAAACTAAATAAATCCTCTTTGAACATTAGACTTACATGTCCGTAGGTTTCTTGCAGCCACAAGTATAAACCTTGGCCTCCCTTCTGCGAGAAAACAATCAAACTTTCTAATTAATTTGCTCCTATTAACATCGAGCAACGTATGATTGCTTACCCTGCCTCACATTCGCATCTGCCTGGTCGCCTAAGATGCGGGGATTAGTACTGAGTATTAGAACTTTCGATTACGCTATGCGCATTATTTTGTTGGTCATACGATGCGCGACACTCTACAGGATTAGGTCGGAACGTTACAATTCAAATAAACGTCTAACACTAAAACCATCGAGCAACCGAATTGCCCTTTCCTAATTTCTTTATAGAAACGCTGAAAATGCATATACTGAGATTCCGACTGATTTGTAATTCCGTTCACGTATTACGATAACGATTTCTCCAATAATTCCTCAGAGAATAATTTGTTATTTCAATATTTAAGGGGACAGAAATCAGGAATCGATTATTTTGATCCGTCTGGCAGTTCTAGTGTTAATACGTTGAATGCCGCATGATTTCATACAGAAAAATGCCAAAATCGAGAAAATATAATATTAAATCTAATTGAATTGCATTGTTATTATTGCATGTTCATCTAGCTAAATGTCACCGCATTGGGAAGCATTATTTATAATATATAAATCTTTTCAAATAATCATAGTTTAACCGAGTAAACTATAGTAATCCGATTCGGTTGGGGGTTACCGGTCATACAACGTGTTAAAGGAATGAATGATAAAGATTTCAGTAAAAAAGGAGACGGAAATAAACGAATCCTCGGAGAAATCTCGCACGTATGACCGACGTGACTCACTTCTCCCCTCTGGAACGAATGAAGTCCCTCATTCTCGCTCTGCACAGGCAACTGTACTCTCTGCAACGCATTGAACGTTCATCTGAAATTCTCCCGCTTGTTTCGATCCCATTAAAATTATAAACAAAAACTCACTCCTCCTTCAAGAACACCATGTAGAAAAATAGCATGCCCGTGAAACCCGTGAAGAACTTCCCCAAGTACCATACGAAATTGCTTGTGCAGTGAGGCATCGCAAAGCGTTCGAATACTGGGGTTGGTCACCAGCTTAGCAGCGACATGTAAAACATAAAAACAAATATTAACTCCTTGCCCTACGATTTATTTCTCAACTATGATCAATACGACTACTTTGTTATTAATAATTTATTGAGAAACGGAAACAAATTCTAGATATACTTTATGTCCATGTCTCCCTAAAGTATAATAACTGATAACAGAAGAATAATATTTAATTTCAATTCAAAAGAATCAAGTAATATTTATATTTATTAAAAAATCTTTACCACGAGTCTGACACGTTATTATAAAACAAGGGGTTAACTTTTTCGATATACTGGTGACTATAGACGCTTGACGCCTTGTTTTAACTATTATATATCATTGTATTATATTTTATAATTATATGTAACACAACTAGAATAATTAACACTAGAATTATCGAACATTCGATAGATTGATATGTGATCGATTCGATATGATTAATATGTGATCCATATAAAAAAGTACCAATAGATTATTTCTAGTTTCATCTGAAATTCATTATAGTATTAAAGTGAAATTATTTATTTTCAAGATCGTTTCGAATATTCAATGCTTTTAAGGTGTCAATAATTGCGAAATAAGGAAACTGAAACCAGTCGTTTTAACCCATGTAGTAGTTCTAGTGTTAATAAATCGCAATACGCCACTTAAATTAACACGTTGACTGCCACGGTGGTCTCCGGTGAGCTTCGAAATAACTTGAAAACAATTATAATTCATAAGACAACTGACGTCGACTGAAAATATTCGATGACATAAACAATTAGATAATATTGTAACGTAAGAATTGTGGTAGCAATTAGTAACGTTCGTAAAGTCTGTTCGGTCGCGGTACAACTAGTGGGGACGTTGGGACTGTCCCGTGTGATAGCACATTCAATATGAAGAACAGTTAATAAGAAGAAATATAAAGTTACCATGAAACATTTGGAATTCGACTAAACGTCAGGTACGATCGAGTCGAACCGTGATGTTTATACCTCGTACGAACGAAGACAGTCGTGAACGAAGGATACTTCTCGCGTCCTCTTCCCCGTAGCGTTGAAAGATTGCATCACACACCGCGATAACTCGTGGAAATTGCTCCCTGAAATTCTGCCGGGGTCAGTCCTCGATGCTCCCGGTGCTCCCAATCGCGATGCCTTTCCTCCGTTTGATTTATCGTTTGAATCTCGTGTTATATAACATTTTTGCAACATCGAAGGTGACGTTCCTTCGATCCTCTTCGCTGGCTCGCATTTGCAGATGACGGGCGCGCGAACAACCCGATCACCGACGCGGCTTCCCGGGGCTGTCGAGACACGGATTTATTAATTCTCGTATGCTGTTGCGGTCCTGGCGACGCGAACGGTTTTTCGGCCGCGAACAAATGCAAAGTGCCGAACGATTTGCAAATGTCAGCGGCTGTCGGTCCGCCTACTGCGCGCCGGCCTGCTTCTGTTACCCGATCTCGGCTCGCTTCAGAAGAAAACCGCTCGCGCTTCGGGATCACGTTGCGCCCGTTAACAAACATTCGTTTATAGAACGGGCGCTATCCGTCAAGAACATTAAATTGTACATACAATTGACAAATGTTGGGCTACTTGCGAAAGTGGCACGGCGGCGAACGGGAACGCGCGCTAAGAAAATATGGCAACACACCACGAAACGGAAGAAACCGAGTTTCCATTGGGTTCGTGTAAATGGCACGAGTCGTTTTGGATGATTTAACAATTTTTGCGGGAACATCGTTGGACACGTTCACGCCGAGTCTTGCCATTTTAGCTTTCTCGCTGTTGGCGGTGATTATAGTCACCCGACGCCTGGCACTACTTGATTTGTACATTACATATTATTGTATTATATGTTATGATTATACGTATTGCAGCTAGTATAAGGAATTAATAAATTACAATACGCCACTGGTTATTAACACTAGAATTACCAAGCACTTAAACTGACTTTTCCAAATTTCTTTGTAAAACTTATAACTGTGTATTTATTAAGATTTCAATTGGTTTATATTTCAGTGTAGGTATTACTAAATCAGCTTCTTTAACCATTTTTCAGAGAAGCATCTGTACCTTCTCAGTAATTGTATAAAAAGAAATCAAGAATAGTTCATTCTGACCCATCTGGTAGTTCTAGTGTTAAAGTTACGCTCGTAAACAAGTGTCTCTCCACGTTGGGAGTGCACCATACTCTGATAGCACATTCGCGAGTAAGACTATCGTAGTGAAAGGGTTAATTGCCAGACGAACGCTCGCGCTTGATCTTTTGATTCTTACATGTAATCGTGTCTTATTATGAAGAATAATCGTTAACACCTGAGGAAGAACGTTTGATCCTTAAATGAGAATGCGGTAATCTGCGTTAACTGGAACCTTTCTTTTTAGCAATGATAAAGAATATGTTAAACTATATGCATTGTGATCTGCTAGGTCGAAAGTCGTCGCGACTACCGTTATTAATAATCGGCCAGTCATTTTTCTGGTAAAAGCTGGAGAGACCGGCCAATTTTAGCCACGGATATTCATCCGAGGTGCAACATCGGCCTGGTCACGCATCCTCAGCGAGTCTCGCAGCTGCCAGAAAGGCAGAAAGATGTTGAATGACCTGTCAACATATTTGCCGTAGTGACAACACCCTCGAGCGAAGCTGTCCCGAACGATGGGAGAAGGGGGAGGAAACGTCTACAATGACACCCCTTCGTTCCGCACTCATTAGGGCAAATTCCTCGGTGCGTTTCACGCGTGCCTACCAGCCGAATGTAAATTTAAACTTCCCCGATCGTTCTTTCTTTCGTCGCACACCGGAAAAAATCGTCGTCTGCCAGTTAACGTTTCCCGTGGAAAGAACGGAACATCCGATCGCGACCGTTAACGATGTTTCCATAAATCAACCGTGTTAACGCCATAATTAAGCCTGTTGGAGCCGGAACTAATTAACACCGTCGGTGGATGTTAAGTATCATGCTAAGTAGATTTTTAACTGGAAGAATAATACAATTGCCTATTCTCTCTGCTTTTCATTTCATTCCTCAACTATGTTGTCCATGGAGTTTTTTATGATCTTTGATATCGACTGACAAAACTGATGAGAAGGTATATTGGAATTAACACGTTGACTGCCACGAAGAACTCCAGCATCACTTATTTTTTCGTAGCACAATTAAACAGGAAAAATCAGTATTTGCATCGTAATTCTTATGTGACAGTATTACCTAGTTATTTACACTTTTGAACATTTACATTCGACGTTTGTTATCTTATAAATTAGAATTGTTTTCATTTCATTTAGAAGATTCCGGTCATCGATGACCACCGTGGCAGTCAACGTGTTAAGCTACATTGTTACCTTGTTGGAATGAATTCACCGTTATTTCTGTACGATATCTACTCAATGAAAATTCAAGATCCAAGTATTTGAGGATCGAGATCGGTGCCTGAACCCGTTCAACTAAAAATACAGTATATTATAGAAGTATCGATGCGCAATGCAATCTCTACACCCTTTCCCATTCTATTGCGTACTGCAAAAATAGAAGACAGAGTTTCGTTGGACTAACAACGGTACACACCGCCAGCTGCGGCCACATGGCATTCTTTCTGTGATCTTGCTCTAAGAGCTCGTTAATACGATCCGCTCGGATGTTGCCAACGCACAGTTAATATTAGTTTCGAGTATGTTTTCTTAACGTATGAGTGTTCTTTCAGAAGACCGGCTCTTAAGTGCCGCGGCCCGCCGTGCGTTATGTCCCACCCTTGTTTTGCCTGAAAATCTATATACTCGGAGCGGAAGCGTCCGGTTTATATTACTCTTTCACGGAACCGTCGAAGAAGATCTACCTTGGACCACCATCGTTATTTATTCACCGAGAACTCTGTTCGTCTCAAAGGTTTCAGCGTCGCGGCGAGTCGCACGGATCCTCTATCGAAGATTACAAATGGCCGCGAATGTTATAGCGGTTCCTCGATCCTCGAGAATTAATCAGATCAACGCAAAGAAACAACTAAAATTCTTCTACACGTGTACAATGATGAACAGTACAACGATTATAGAAATACAATAGCGTTGTAATTTCTGGTCTTAAAAATTCCTCGAACATAACAAGATCATTTTAACCGACGAATCAATGAATTCCGCATGGTCTCGCTGGCGCAAGTGCTTCGGTTTACCGTGAAGCATGAAGCACGATAAATCTCGTCCCCTTTCACGTCGAAACGACTACCAGCGCGTCGGATCCGCCTGCGGAAGATCGATACGTTTCCGTCACGGGGGCCGGTAATCAAAGAAATCGCTCGCTTAACGAAGATCTTCACCTTTTTTCACGAGGATGATACAACGCTATGAAAACAAGAAGATCAAGAGAGCTCTGGTTCTTCTCGATTGGCTTTCAGTCCACGAGGGTGGCGGCGTTTCTTCGGGTACGGAGCCAATCCCGGGCTGTTTCTTCTCTAAAAATACACTTTGAATCGGTAGGAGGAGATGAGGATGACACCTCCTTCACGCCAGGAAAAAGATTCCTCTAAGTATATAACTCATTCGACAGTGCACTCGCTGCAGCGGCCGCTTCGACGTGCGGAAAGCTGAACAGCAATTTCGGAGAGTGTTATCTTTGGCGAACCAGTAGGACTTACGTGCAGTATTCTACGCGTTGGTTTCACTGCGTATCTTCTTCAGAGAGATTTACAATTATCTACGCGTGGAATCAATGTTTCAACGGTGAAGTGACCAGTCAGTGCAAAGATGGAATACAGCACTATATTCTTTGTTACGTCAACTCCGATGAGTTTAACGAATTGAAGCAGCACCATTGACAACGGACGGACTACTCTAGGAGAATTGTAAAATTCAGGACGCCCGTAGTTCGTTGATAATTAACAAACAGTTCAAAGGATAATATTGCTCGAGGAATACTATAAGATGAAGACGGAGAACGGCGGTTCCGGTCAAATGAACTCCAATATGGAACAACGTCTAAGGAGTCCAAAGTGTGCTAGATGTCGAAACCACGGCGTGATTTCCGGTCTGAAAGGCCACAAACGGTCGTGCGCGTGGAAGGATTGCCGTTGCCCCTGTTGTTTGCTCGTGGTGGAAAGACAACGCGTGATGGCAGCGCAGGTCGCGCTGAGAAGACAACAGCAGGCCCAAGGGAATTATTTTGGTGAAAACGTCCCGGCGATGTGTCACACGCCCCTAGATGCTTCCGCTTCACCGTATCTATTGAAAACCGAGCAGAATCCTGTTTGCCGCAGAACAAAGAACTTTCAGCGTCATCATTTGCATTTCACGCAGACCAGCATTAGCGTGACACAAGGATTTTACGGATTAAAGGCGATTCACGGTTTACCTACGGCATGTTAGTATTCGTTTAAATTGTAAACAATAGAGAAGCTGATTGAAGATGTTCCGTTAGCAACCTTATACCTTTCATTATTCAGTTTCACCTTGAATTCAATTGAAGTTAACTACGCGTTGACCAGTAATCCCTTTGTTCTAATTTCTATCCTTTGTATTAATAAGGGACAGAATGTAAAGCACTCTTTTATACAAATTTATAGAAATTTATACAAATTTGCAGTCCAGAACGAATGGAAATGCTGAAAGATTGAAAAATATAATTTATACGGACGTTTAATAGTACTGTACTATTTTTGTGAAGTAGGAATAATTTATTATTTCAGTTACCGCAGACACGCCTTTGTTGAATGGTTTGTCCCATGATCAGCAGAACTCTGAAGCACCTAAGAAATTAAAATCTGTTCCAACCACATATTCTGCGATTCCGTGGTTCGAAAATGTTTCAGAGCCGCGGAAGATTAAGAAGAATTTTAATAACTTCACTTCCGCCGTCACGGATCTCAGCGATATCTCTACGGCCACCGCTGAATCTTGCCTGGAGAAGAAATCAACAATTTCGTTTAGCGTAGAATCTATCATCGGAACAAAGTGATATGAAACGACTGATTTATTTTTAGCTGAAGATCGCACGTCATTATTGTAAATAGAACTCACCTTTCTGATTTATCTAAGCTTAATTACTTATATAGAATAAACCAAAGCATGAACAATTTTTTAAGAGTTGTCTTTTTAAGTCTGCAGTGCTTCTATTATTGCATATCACGTTTAAGTTAGACAATTGCTAATGCATTACATATATTTAAAATACATTATTGTACATTAACATCGCGATAAACTTATTTACTGCATAATTGTGTAATATTGTATAAAAACTGAAGCATTATACGTTATTGTTATCGTTGAAAAATCTTTAAACGCATTAAACATATTTAAATAACAAATATACAGATACAACATACCCTGTAGTCAGTGTAAAAATAAACTAAATAAATGTGAACACATATTAAGGACTGTGTGTTATTACGTTATATATTTACACTACTTTAACCGAGAAAATGAAGTCTAACGGAGCATCATTTGTCACTTTCAAGTGTTTCGCTACAACGTTTCATGTACGCGTCCATTTCGGAAAAATCGTATAAAGTAGTGTGAATTATATCGCACAAAATACTTGGCCATTTATTTTCAAGTAACTGTAACTTCTGTATTGCATCTACAGTGAGATTAATTAAACTTAACAGATGCAATTTCCCTCTATGTCTCCAAATAAGATCTTCCTGAAATCAAAACAATGGATTCTTTGAGAAAACAATGTGAAAATTAGGTTTCCTGTTAACTTATTATAGAAAATTATATTGCTTTTCAGTACCTGTGTTACGCTTCCTTTTTTCCATTGTAACGCCTCTTTGGCGACAACGCTTCTAAGAGCTGGATCACTGTTGAGTAAAAATTGTTTGGCAGTAATTTGTTCTCCGTTTTGTCTTTGCACTTTCTCTAAACGAAGTCTCTGTAATAAAGGTTGCAATAGTGATTCTGGCAGTGAACGCATCACGATATCAACAAGACCAGCATATTCCTTATTTGCTAACTCAATTTCCTCATTTGTAATCTAAATGTAACATTTAAAAAAACTAGTAAATATTTTTAATAAATACTCTTCTACTTCATCTCTCATGAAGTAAAGAAATATTTACTTCTTTTCCATTAATAACTTTGAGTCCCCAATGTGCTAAACGAAATATAGCATACATTTTCCAGTCCTTTGATATAATTGGATTCCCGATTTCTATATGAATGCTTGTTAATCCCTGTACTTCAGCTAAAGCATTGAGTTGTCCAAGGTAACTGATGTTAGTTTCTTTAAACATAAAGTGTTCTATGTTTGGAAATCTATTTTTTACTTTACACAAAACTTTGGCCACATCATTGAACTGTACATAATTGAATTTAACTACATTAACATCTTGAGCTTTTGAACAATCCCATGGCTTGTCAATAAAACGTAATGCACCTTGACCATAAACATTTAAGCATCTGCCAACAATTTCTATTAAATAATCTCCTCCTATGAAATATTGATAAAATCTATTAATGGAATTATAATTAGTAATATATTGCTAAATATATACCTTGTTCTCTTTCTTTTGGTGGATTTTGCAACGGTGGCGGACTCGATGGTGTTAAAGCTCTATATTTAGCTCTAGCTGTTGCTGCTCTATTACTTTTGTAAGTTACTATTTTCTTTACCTGAGCACTCTTTATTCTTATCTTATCTTTTTCTGAATTTTTACACTTCAATAATATATTCTTAGCAGCAGATGATGTACTGGAATCACTCAGTACTGACTTACAACTATCTATGCTATTGGTTTTGGAACTTAATGAAAAATAGCCAGAGGAACCAACGCTTGATTTGGATTGACCATCATTTGTACCATGCTGATCATGAAGTTTTATATTTTGAGATAATTGTGTCAAATCTTCATCATTTAATACTTGGGTATCATTGATGGCAGTTGATGTAGTTGAAGAAATATTTATAGGATTAAATACTTTCTCAGTATTAAATTTACTAACATCTCGGGGAGAAATGTAATTGCTAGAATTTAAAAGATGAGATTTCAGGCAACTCTTTAAGTTTTCATGGCTCTCTAAACTTTCTGAGTCACTGTTTGACTCGCTTTCAGCATTAATCATAGTCTTTGGTTTTGTTGAGCTCTTACTATTTTTATCGGTTTTTTCATCAAATTTATTGTTAATTAAATTATCTACAATAGAACCTAAAATAGGAGGTAATTTAAATTCTAATGGATATGTTTTAGTTGTATCCTTTAGTCTAAATAAATTATCACTAGAGTTACTTCTTTTTCTAATATTTATTTTTGTAGCTTCTATATTTTCATTTATTGAAGTCAAACTTCCAAAGCCTTTTGACTTTGTTTTCTCTAGATTCTTAGGTTTTAATGTATTAAACTTATTTGATTTCTGAACTTGTACCAAACCAATATTATTGTTTCGAATATTGTTTCCATTATTATCTGTAGAGGATTTAGAATGACATCTGAGAAGTTCCCAATTTATTTTAGCATTTGATATAATCTCTTCTCTGCGAACATTCATACAGACTTGTGCACTGAGATTTAAAAAAGTAGAACTACTTTGTTCTTTAGTTGTTCTCCAGGCCATGGCAACTCTTCGAATTTGTTCGGTAACTGGCATAGTAGATAAGAATTGTAAATTTGATAAATATGACACAAGGAAAGAAATATAGTCTCCATTCAAAGTCACAGGGTTGCCATCTATTGTTATTTCTCTAAGTTGTAATGCCTTTGCTAGACATCCCATGTCCTCAATTCTAAAACAATATCGAATAAACAAAAAGTACTATATAATAGTTCCTTTAGATTACCCATGTAAGCACATGAATACTTACTTCTGAATATTATTATTACTTAAATATAACTTTTGTAATTGTGGTGTTTCACCAAAACCTAATAATCTCTTGATTTTGTTACGTCTGAGATTTAACTCTTTAAGTGATGTTAAACCTTGAAAATCATGGTAACCTATCGCTTTAATATTATTTCCAGCTAAGTTAAGTACTTTTAAGGATGCAAGATTTTCCAAGTCCGATACTTGTAGTATTTGATTTCCATGAAGGTCCAAAACTTCTAATTTAGAAAGCTGTTTTAAACCCTCAATTCTTTTTATCCTATTCTTTCCAATTAATAACACTCTTAGATTTTCTAACATGTCAAAATTACAAATTTTTTCAATTTGATTATCATATAAATCAAGAAATACTAATTTTATTAAGTGAGAAAAATTGCAGTTCTCAATCTTTGTAAGTAGATTATGCTGGAGAGACAATAAACGTAAACGTGGTTCTGCAACTATATTTGGAAATGTAGTAAGACCTCTTCTATCAAGGCATATCCTATCAGGACTTCTTTCTTTCTCTGCAACTGTTCTTGTTGCAACCATAGTCTTTCCTTCGCTTGTCCATTGCAGTGCGACTGTATTAGAACCTTCAACTTTAGCATTCTCTGTATTAAATGGAGAATCTGCTAGACTGCATATAAGATTTATAAAAGGGTTGTGTGATTTAGTAATTATACAATGTATTAATTTGCATATTTTACTTGTACCTAAATGAATTATAATACCGTTTAGATAGTTTTGGTGGAATAGGTGCTCCAGGTAAGATTGGTAAAGCAGGTGCTATAGTCAAGAATTGATTACCTTCTTGAACATTTGCCTTACAAGTAGATTCTGTTGATATACTTTTTATGCCTTTTATATCAAAGGCTACCGTTTTTATCTATAATACTCAACAGTACGTTCAGTTCAATGAATACCGAGTACGGGTTTGTATATTTTATAAAAATAGTTGAACTTACCCGCGTAGTTTTATCGTTGCTTATTGGCATTACATAACCGAAACATAAAAATATGATTAATATATTAGGCCACAAATTCCTAAATCTAATTTTAATCACTTAAATAATGCTGATACATTGTGGATCTTAAATTTTTGGTTAAACTTCGATTAATAAAGTTTAATATGGAACGTACTTTATTGTTTGTCACTGCGCATTTGCAGCTACGCCGTTGTCAACGTTTAAATCTACCGCGTTGAATGGGACGTTACATCACAGACTATGTTCTGTATTTGTGACAACAAATTCGTATATGAAAAGTAATTGTCATAATTAAGTGATACAATAACTAATATTATTTTGTGTTAAGAACACATATTTAATATTCTATAAAAATAGTACACATCTGTATTATATATAAAACATTTATGAGTTAAAAGTTATTTATTCCAGAACAATGTCTTTTCTTTCGACTTTGCGATTATTACAAATCAGAGAACGCTTTATAACTCCTGTACATTATGCGATACAAGTAAAACATTATGCAGGTAAAATATTTTTCATCAAATTATTTTGTTTCCACCAAATAGTATATTTCATTTTATCTACACAAAGGTTATGTTACACACTACTAAAAAGTAAAAATTACGACTATTAGATATTAACAAATATTTTACAAGGAAACGAATATCTAATGCAAAATGTTCTTATTTACTAGTTGTTGCACCCAAAAAACAAAAAAAGATGGTAAAAATTGAAAAGGTTGAACTACCGGTTGAAAAGGATGTTAATAAATTATTGACCTACGTATGTGGAACAAACATTTACAAGGAAGGAGAAGATGTAACACTGAAGCCTGATTCTGAATATCCTGATTGGTTATGGGAAATTAGAACTGAACCATACGAACTCTCAGAGTTGGATCCGAATACGAAAGTATATTGGAGATATGTGAGAAGAGCAGCTCTAAGAAGAAAGAATAGATACGCAGAGTACTATGGACTACATTAAATTTTAATTAGATATATTAAAAAGTTATAAACATATTGATTTTAGATTACACATATGTAGATACGTAATATTATATTTAACTATGGCCAATCTATTGATAAGGATATATTTTGTATATTCTGTATTTTAATTAATAATATATCTATAATGTTGCTCTTCTTTAACCAATGTTAATGTATTTTACTTATACTATTCAGGAATCATTTATTACCACACTTTATTATTTCCAATACACTTACCATAATTAATCTTCTTTTCCAATGAAAAGTAAGGAATGAAACATCTGTTTAGTATGTCAATATTGTATCAAATGATTCAATTATGATTGTTCAATGACACGAGACATAAAAAGGAAAAGGTCGCGAAAAACGTGGGATCTGTTTACAAAAAGTAACATTTGTTGCAAAGATAATTCGTAATTCGTTTATCAATTGTTATGTCTAATTCACAATTGCAATCAGAATAATCGCAACGATTCTGGAAACGATGTCAGACTTTTAATTATTCGTTAAGCGTTGTTTCTGCGTTGATTTCGTTACCTTCCTGCAATCAATGTCAGTTGGTTGTTATCAATGATGTGGTTACTTTGTCATGGGAAATTTCAATTTTGGGTGAAATGACGACGAATGCGGTCGTGTATCATCCGCTTTCATTATCTGTTCGTGCTGATAAAAGGGTTTGCGATAAATCGATATATTTTAGAGGTAAAATATAAAGAGTCGCCCAAGAGGATCGTGGTGCAGTACATCCGAGAAACTCTTTAACGAGGACGCATCGTTCGTGATTTCCTGTAAGTATAATACTTTCACGCTTTAATCTTTCCCTTCGCTCGCACCGGAGGAAACACTATGAAATGCACCTGTAACGATACAAAAATTTGAAGACTTATGGCGAAAAGTAAACGACACCGGTGCTATTCGTTAATTTCCATTGCGTGCATAATAAGATTCACGATTCTTGGGGAGGTCATTATTTCACCTTGATTCGTACGTCAAACGAATAAACGACGCCGGTCGATCTCTATCTTCATTACTGGGAACTTAATCGTTTACCGTGTAAGAGAAGCAATCCCCTATAATCTCTTCTTTTTTTCTTAGTAATCAAACAGCGGTTTATCGACCAGGTTGATTCAGCTATGTTAGACGAGGTGTGCGGTAATATTCGTAATGTTTCCACATGAGCACAAGTGTCATGGGCACTCGGTGTGTGTCTAAATAGTATCACTGATAAAATTCTTTCATTATCCGTTAAACATGATAACGGATTAATTTTCAACACACCTACAATTTTCGTGTCAATATAAGGGAGGCCGAATAATTTTCATCGTATTAGAATTACAACACGCGACGAGCATCGAAGTTGAGCAATCAAGGTGATAGTGTATTACTTTCAATCAAGAATCTTCAATCACTTTTTTTTTGGACACATCTCGACCTGTAACCGCGCTCATTTTCTTTCTCGATTGAAGTTCAAGTGTAAGACTAAGGTACAGTCATCTAAGTCACTTGATTTAATAATCCGCGTAGAAAATCGTATCAATTAAGATCCCATTGCCCCTATTGTATATTATAATACCGTCGATAGATAAGGCATTGAAAAATGTTAAATCCTTCGATTCCAGATGTTCAAGGTAGCGTTCTTGGTCGCTTGCATGGCGCTGGCCGCCACTAGTGTCCAAGCTGACAGTAAGTATTAGATCCTTATTATAACGATAATCCTAAGAAGAGCATTACGATCGCGTAATCTTATAATCGATGCTATCTACGCTCGGTCTTGATAACCATTGTTCCATTTGAAAAGAATCCGTACCGCGTGTCGCAGAATACTAACACTAGACCTTCGTTTTCTAGAGAAGATCGTCTGCTACTTCGGTAGCTGGGCGGTTTACCGGCCAGGCAATGGAAAGGTCGACGTCAACGACATCGATCCCCGCCTCTGCACGCACATGATTTACAGTTTCATTGGCATTAATACGGATGGCAGCATCAGGATAATAGATCCATGGGCCGATCTGTCAGACGGCGGTGGCAAGAACGGTTTCGGCAAGTTCGTCAGCCTCAGCAAGCAGAGCTCGAATACCAAAGCGATGGTCGCGATCGGAGGATGGAACGAAGGATCCAGCAAATTCTCCCAGGTGGTCGGCAACCCTGGCACGCGGTTTCGGTTCGTCCAGAACGCGGTGAATTTCTTGAGACAGTACAATTTCAATGGTCTGGACATCGACTGGGAGTACCCTAATCAGCGTGGCGGTCAGCCGGCCGATCGCCAGAACTTCGTGGCTCTGCTGAGGGAGCTTAAAGAGGCTTTCAGCAAATACGGTTATATTCTCAGCGTCGCTGTAGGCGCCACCGAGAAATCCGCTTCACTGTCTTATATCATTAACCAGGTGGTGAGCAACGTTGACTTCGTAAATCTGATGACGTACGACATGAACGGCGCGTGGAACAATTTCGCTGGATTTAACGCACCCTTGTACGCTTCGAGCCGCGAGCAAGGGGAGCAGGCTAAACTGAATGTGGTGAGTGGACGCGTTTCTTTAACCGTTAGAAAGACTTTTAATATTAATTATAAAACATGTTATTGATATTTCATTAGAAAATGAGGAATATATGAAACGTTTAGAGAGGCATTTAGTAGTAAATAGTGCACCCCTAATTTGCACTTGATATTATTGACATTTAATATAATGAGTCCTTTCTTCTTTAATTCTTTCTTTATACTCGTAGAATATATATCAAGTTCAATGTCTGTAGCTATCCCCCAGTTTATAAAAAACATACAAACATTTTAAAACAAAGGCTAAACATTTTCTGGAGCAACACTCCTACTAATTTCAGCTATGTGCCACCACTGATAACATCGCCATCCGAAGGTTAACCCCTTGGCGCACTATCTACTTCCGTTACTAAGCTCGTGTAATATTTTACTATCGACAATTTGGAAGAAATGCAACAAAATGTTCCATTCTACTTCAAGTGGAAATTTCATTTGAAGATGATACATTGATTATAGCAAAATAGTTGTTTGCTTCGATCCGTGGGTAATGAACAAACATTGACTGTCGTTAAATTAGTCTAGAAACCTTCATCACGAGTCCCACTCGTCATTGTATGGCAAAGGTTAAAACGAGTATTCTTGTGGTAAATCCCGACGCTGAACGTTCGTTTATAATTCCAGGACTCTTCCGTCCGCTATTGGCTTTCGCATGGTGCTCCAGCCGATAAGCTGATCCTTGGTATTCCTTCCTACGGGAGGGCCTTCACTCTGGCAAATCCCAATAACAACGACGTTGGCGCACCGACTACTGGTCCCGCAGCAGCTGGACCTTATACCGGAGAAGCGGGCATGCTCGGTTACAACGAGATCTGCGAGTATCTACGTCAAGGAGGCTGGAACGTTCGCAGGGAATCACAGCAACACGTGCCATACGCTGTTAAAGGCAACCAGTGGATTGGATACGATGATGTTCAGTAAGTGATAGTTTCTTTAGTAACAATGGAAAAGATGGAAACGGAAAATGAGAATACAGAAGATGAGTAAGAACAAATATAAATCTCTGTGGATGAGATGCAAACAATTGCAGTCTCGACTTTTCTGAATCGCTTTTGGCACACAAGTACCATACGGATCTCCATTTTAGCGGTTCAAAAGTTGCGAATATTATATTCAAGGTGTTACGACAATTATTTGCATGCTGATCTATTACGTTCAATTTCCAGATCTGTCCGCGAGAAATGTGAGTATGCCAACCGGATGGGTCTCGGAGGTGGCATGATGTGGAGCGTCGAAACAGACGATTTCCGTGGTACCTGCGGACAGAAATACCCTCTTCTGAACGTCATGAACAGCGTTTTGAGAGGCGGTGCACCAGCTCCTGGCCCAAACCCGCCACCGTCATGGAAACCAACCACACCCCCATCTGCACCACCAACAAGACCAACCCCACCGTCGACATCCATTTGTAATAAGGAAGGATACGTCCGAGATCCACAAGATTGCTCCACTTTTTACTATTGTCAAAATGTAAATGGGCAATACACAAAGTACACATACCACTGTCCGGCTGGTCTCGCCTTCGACCCCAAAATAAACGGCTGCAATTACAGAGAAAATGTCGCAGGCTGTTAAGATATGCACATACGTATCATGTAATTTGAACAATATCTTAATAAAAATATGATTATTGTATAAATTTTCAAGCTGTTTTATCATTACCAGATTTTAATCTTTAAGTTATTTCTTTGGAAACTCTGTTTCTATTAAATTAAGGTCGATTCTAAAGAGAAAGGGAATTTTTTATATTAGTTAGAGCGCAGGTATAATTAGTTAAAACGAGCCTAGACTTGCGTTTCACAGTATATTTCATTTTTAAGTATTCTGCAGACATTATTAGTATTGTAGGGATTGTTTTACTGTACATCGGTTAAGATAATGATAACCCCTTGTGTTTCCGATATAGGTGATTTTTATTTTTAAAAAATATGATAGAAATATGATTCTCTGGTTTCAATTCGCGGACTCTATAACTCTATTCTACTCGCTATTCTCTCTCTCTAAACTTGCTACCCCTCCCTCTCTCTCTCTCTCTCTCTCTCTCTCTCTCTCTAAATTTGTTAACTCTCTTTATAAACACACTAACTCCCTCTCTAAACTCTCTATGCACACACATACACAGAGAAACACGGATTCATACCCATACGGACTTCGCGGCTGTCGCACTTTGTCATAATTTGGGCTATTATCTCCTCCTCGGATCAGTCACCCGCCGGTTGTTTACTTATTGATCATTTTTTTCGCTCGTTTTAGGTCGCTCGCCTATCGTTTGTTGCTTCTTCGGTCATTGCCCTATTACTAAAAACCTAGAGCCCTATTTTTTTTACGCGGGCAAATGACCGCGGCAGCCTTCGCACGGTTCGTCACTCCTGATCTTATAGTTTCCATGATACGAAAAACGCTTGTCCCACGATATTCACGTCATTTGTTCATTATACTGTTACAAGAAAATAAATATTATGCTTATTGCGTCTTGCGTGCTGATTTTTTAATAGGACCTTCATACATCAGTCCAGCTCCGCTTTTACGTGTTAGGAACTTACCATGTTTAGAGAAGGTTTCAAAGGAAATTTTTAAATCGTACAATATCTTGTGCAAATATTATTAGAAGACTATTAAATCTACTGCTCACATTAGTATAAGTCAGCTGTTTCGACAGGTGTACTTTCGAACATTGTAAAAATACGTGTACGGGAAGGGGCGTGAAACATATATTAGCGTACATATTATGTAATCGTTTTAATAGAGCATTTGATTGTTTGAGTAAAACGAAATATAAGATCGTTTAATCGAATGAATAACAAATCGCTGTTGGGAAAGGGACAATATAACTTAATACTTTCTTACGAATGCTTTGTCTATGAAATTAGGACGCGTGACACTTTAGAGAATAGCAATAACCTGATTATTAATCAGCTAGGTATATATAATTTTTAATACACATACTGGCACCCCGCGGTTGTTCTGAAAAACAAAGTTTCACATCTGTTTAGTTAGGTAATTCTATTTGCTCAAAATAGCATCGCGATAAGAACGGCTTTAGTAACACTAATTTTATTTACTGTGCTGATACATTTAAATGGGGAAGAAACTACCTAATGTAGAATATAAATACGAGCAATTTAGTAAAAAGTTTCAGTGTCGTTTAACAGTTGATGCATTGTACGTCTTGATAAAATTCTTAATACTGAACAGTTCTTTTGCTTTCTAAACCTTTTTAAATTTTCATGCGCCCACATTAAAATTCCTTTTGCCACATTTTTCATAGAAATCTTCAATTTTTCCGCACTTAATAACTGCACTTATAGCGTCTATAAATTTTAGTAATAAGAAAGAAAAATGATATTCTTACAGATGCATACGAAGATAGTTGTTCTTGCCCTCTTCTTGGCTATCGCCACTTCGGCATACGCGCAGAGTAAGTATGCCAAGTTCATCAAGCCCAACAAATGCATCTAGAAAATTAACGACGAAGAATTTAACACAATACTTACACCGTTCATTATATTCGTAAAACAGTTTGAATAATTCAGAAAACGGTACAATACAATAAAAATTCAACACACTCGAATCCCTTTTTACCATTCGTGTACCATTCATTCCAGAGAAAATCGTCTGTTACTATGAGAGCTGGGCAAAGTACAATGATGGTACAGACAAATATCCAATCACCTCCATCCCAGCGCATCACTGCACGCACGTGATCTACGCGTTCATCGGCATCAACGAAGACGGTAGCATTAAGCTGCTCGACGACGAGTCTGATTTTAAGATTTTCAGCCAGCATGTGAAGGGTCGCGGCTCTAAGGCGATGGTCTCTGTCGGCGGTGCGTCCGAGAAATCAAGGAAGTTCTCCGACATGGTTGCAACCAGAGAGGTGCGCGAGACGTTCGTGAGACATGCAGTCGAGTTCCTGCAGAGGCACAACCTCGACGGGCTAGATGTTGATTGGGAGTACCCTAACCAACTGGGCGGTAACCCGGCCGACAAGGAGAACTTCGTTCGCTTGCTGAAAGAGCTAAAAGACGCGTTCTCGAGTCATGGATATCTCCTGAGCGCCGCCGTTGGCGCCGAGGAAGACTCTGCCTCCAGGTCTTATCTGATCCCAAAGATCTCGAAGTTGTTAGACTTCATCAACGTCATGACCTACGACTTCAACGGTTACGAGAACGGTCACACCGGTATGAACTCTCCCTTATACGCGTCCGTTAGGGACTCGAAGGATAGTTACACCCGACAACTCAACATTGTACGTATGAACCACCTTTTTTTAGTATAGAAGCTGATCTCAGTTTGAGAACGAGCTTGTCTCTTATAAAGGAACGATATTGTCTTGAAAATTCACTTTGCGGTCGTTAGGACCAATTCTTTATCGATTTCGTTGTAGCTGTATATTGAGAATTTTCGGTAATTTAATTGTTATTTTGGAAGAACGTGAAGATTCAAATGAATTTTGCTGAAGATACTTCTGTCCGTTTCAGAGAGCTAGTGTCCAATACTGGCTTGACCAAGGCGCTCCAGCTGAGAAGATTATCGTTGGTGTGCCATTCTACGGAATAACGTTTACTTTAAGAAATAACAACGAACATGGTGCTCATGCTCCTACCACTGGACCTGGAATAGATAGCGGCAACATCGGTTACAATGATCTGTGCGTACGTTTGAAGGAAGGTGGATGGACCATTGTCTGGACTAACAAGCAACGTGTACCGTACGCGTATAAGGGTAACCAATGGGTCAGCTACGATAATCCCCGGTACGTGTTCATATCTAATATTGAAATTTTGAACTTTTATTTGTATAGTTAATAGAATATATGAAAAAAATATATGTACAATACAATATATAAAAAACGATTACATGTAATATATATGTATTGGATTCAGAGAAATATAATTATTGATATTTAAATGTTCATATTGGAAATCTTTTACTTTTGTTTATAGGTCTATCAGAGAAAAGGCTGAATTCGTCAAATCCCACGGACTCGGTGGTGTGATGATTTGGAGCATCGATACCGACGACTTCCAAGGTAGATGCGGCCGAAAGAATCCACTTTTCCATGCCATCAATGAAATTTTGAGTAATTGTAAGCACTAAAAAACATTACGTCGAATGTGAAGTTAAATTGAGTTGAAACTTAGTGGCAGAATATGGCTAATAATTTCTGTTTGCAGAAATCGAATTGGACCACCTGGATGGATCGATGGTGACGTTCCTGCGTGATGTAATCAAACACAGATGGCTACAATTCTAATTTATTTACAACTGCTCTCCATTAACTATATTTGTGTTGTCCTGTTAATTTACTTCGTACACCAAAAAAGTGAATAAATGAATATACATGTGTATAAAACATATTTTTTTCTTTTGTGAAGTCCCACTTATTTAATCGGAGATATTAAAATAATATATATTAATTACTAAGTTATAAAGTTTGGAATGTAAATCAATTGAAATTCGTGGTTAATTTCCATACAATTAATATTGCGGTATATCTATATAATTTAATAGCATTATTAACGTAATAATATTGAATAAGAATATGCTAAAAAATAATATATATATAGCATAATATTTTCAAGGAGTCTAAGTACCGCATGAGAATTAGAAATTGCAAGGTTTAGAGTTCATTAATTTCAACCTTGCTAAAGGCAACCGTTCGTACATTACTGTGTAACGTCACTCTTCACGTGTTGATATATTATCTGTTATGTAAATATACAAGGAGTTCGGTTACACATTACGATGTTATATTTTTAGGTAGCAATTACATAGTAAAATGAAATGAAAATCAAAACTGTCGAAATTACAAGTTATTAACCCTTTTCACTCGAAAGGTTTTTACTAGAAATATTAAATATTTTCAGATGAGATACAGACGATGTTCTTTAAAACTACTTAATGAGAAAACATATATAAATTAAGAAGAAAAGTCACTTTATTTCAACATTCCATATATTGATGCATAATATAAAGCTTAATATTATATATAAAACTTTATAATTTTGCAAATCAAATCAAGTAGTAACTGAGAATCATCTCTTGAGTGCAAAGGATTAAGAATGAAATGTTTCAATCCTTATATCAAGTTATTTGAATATCTTGTAGCCCGAGTCACATTGTTATCTTTTTTGTTATAATATTATTCTAATATTCATATCATTTGTACATTGTATGACTATCATAAGGAATGTAAACACTACATAAAAATTATAAATTAGTGTCAAAATAACTTCTTCTTTTACTTGTAAAAATTGTACTAATAAGAATTTTTACAGTTATAATCAACCAAATGAAAATAGATTAATAATTTTTATTAATAAGTATTTAAAATCATTCTATACAAAGTTTTAGTTTGTACAAATATATCTACTGGTATTCTAATCTCTTTATTATATTGTACATTTTACGAATTCATATTTTCCGCCATTAGGCGGAAGTCGTTCGGGATCTACTAATGATTCTCGTAGTACTACTGCGAAAACATCGCGCCGCCTTCGTTCCGCTTCCTTTTCACGACGTGCTTTCCAAAATGCAGAAGGTGAGTTTTTCATGCAGCGACTCAATTGCATGACTCTTATTTTGCAAAAGAATTATATTAATAGAGAATAATAAACGACCGCTCGTGTTGCAGAAACAAAAGGAACCGATCCAGTCCGTGCAAGTCTTCGGACGCAAAGTGAGTGTAACTGCCAAGTAATAAGTAGGGTTATGTTTGCGCGTGTTTCTATTTAATCGGACACATTTGTATTTACAGAAAAGCGCAACTGCGGTTGCATATTGTAAACGAGGACGTGGGAACCTCCGCGTAAATGGACGTCCTTTGGAATTAGTCGAGCCGCGCGTTCTTCAGTATAAATTACAGGAACCCATTTTACTGCTTGGCAAAGTGAGTAGTGCTTTATAATGTGCTTATCCCTGTCAAGCTCGAAGCCACTTACTATTTTGTTTTTCAATTACATACGAATAATCCTTAATTTTTTTAACATTGATCCATGATGTTACTTTATTCCGAATATGATTGTTCCTGAATAAACAAAAGATTACTGAGAATTTGTATTATACGTTTCTATGTATAAAATATTTTTAGACAAAACTGTAGTTATCGAGACACTTTTTTTCGTATAGGAAAAATTTGCTGGAGTTGATATCAGGGTCAGAGTAAATGGCGGTGGACATGTTGCACAAATCTATGCTATCCGTCAAGCTATTTCCAAAGCTTTGGTTGCATATTACCAAAAGTGTAAGTATAGCCGAATAATTTCTAATAAATATGTTAGAATAATGCTAATAGTATTAACAATAATGTAAGTGTATTTAACAACTTATTATTTGGTTTTAGATGTTGATGAAGCTAGTAAAAAGGAAGTAAAAGATATTCTTATTCAGTATGACCGTACCCTCTTGGTAGCTGATCCAAGGCGATGCGAACCGAAGAAGTTTGGTGGTCCAGGTGCGAGAGCACGGTACCAGAAATCTTACCGTTAATTTCTGTACATTTCACACTACACTTTATTCATATTATTGAATAAAAAATTTGAAAACCGATTTTTAAAGCAATTTCTCTCAACTAAACTCCATATTGTTTTAATTTAATTTTATTGATTAAAGGATATTAACTGAATCTATTTCCTCTATCAATACATATAAAAAAACAATTGTATTTAAGTACTTTATGCTACGTTTCTTGTATATAATTAGTAGTAGTCAAAAGGTTTTATGCTGATATGTCACAATTGTTGAATGCAGATTTAAGTCCAATTAAAAAATTCAATGTTCATTTGAATATAACAATTAGTAATTACGAATTATATCTATAAAGAATACTTCAATGGATACTTGAATCTTACACAGTACACCTTTGGTTAGTATTTTATAATTAATTAAATGTTTAAATTGATTTTAAAGCGTGCACTTAATATACATTACACGTTATATTAAGGTCGTTCACCGACTATGCACAGCCTACAGGTACATACATATTTTAAGTTTGTAGATAATCTAAACTAGTTTCATTCAGTTTATGCTAGATGGCGTATCTACCCCAATCCATTTATTTGTCGGTAATACATGTTTACTAGTTTGAAATTTTCGGTACGGATGGCGCCACTAACTTAAAGTTCAAGGTGTAAAAATAATTCTTGCCAACATTTGCACTGCAAGTAAGAAGCGAAACGGCAAGATTCATCTACCTGTGCATAGAAATTCTTAACTTCATTGAAATCTCGTGTACATTTATGTATATATATATATATATATATATACGAGTAGAAACTGCATTGACTGTAAATGACATTATTGGAATGACATCTTTAAAAATTATTACTTTCGCTTCGTCGATTTCGCGGAGTCCAAATTACCGTTACATGGAATCGTAATCATGGAAAAAGGCTAGACGACACGATGAACCGAATAAAATGCAAACTGCGGTTGAAACAAATACAACGTCTGTCCTTAAAGCAGTTGAGTACATACTGGAATAAAACCAGGTTTCATATTAGGATTTCATATAGAATTTGGGACCGTGTTTCAATCCTGACCTAAATCCTCTAATATCAAAAAATTCAGCCGTCACAATCGAGATGCTCATTCTTCCCACGAAGTTCCATCGAGATCGCCGAGCAACCAATGTCTGATACAATACAAAAATTCCGTTTACCGTGTTCCTCACAAAAAACAATCGTGCCGCGCGCGATGTCCCAATGTCCCCACCCGCGCCCAAACTAGGGAGATCATGGTCACCGGCGTCACCGTTGCGTCGCGGGAGGAACGCGAGATCGGCGATCGGGAGGTCGACGTTGACGTGTTGCGATCTAAGATGGGGGTCTGGCAGAGGTGGTCGGGTAGTAGGTGGTGGCAGACGTGGGTGACTGCAGCGGGTCGGCAGGGCGCGTGTGTCAACGCGGAGGAAAGGCATGAACGTCGGTATACGCGAGACTCTTGCGGTCCGAAAGAGACGGGGTTACGAGCGGGCTTGGTGGGAGAATTCCACGGAGTGGAGAGAGAACGGTGGGTTGAACCAGGTACAGTGGCCATGAGACGCGCGGTCGGATTTCCCTCTTCGACGCAGGATAGGCGGACGCAGCCAATCGGGTACGAGTGCTCCGCCAACGACGTCGTGGCTCCGACCGAGAGGCGCCACCGATGGACCAGGGAGCTGGCGCTCCAAGCAGCGAATAAGCGCGCAGCCAGTCTGGTATTGGCTGGCTTCGTCCAATGGCAGATTGTTATGGGTAGACGGTGCCTGAGCGGAGGGGGTTGTGGCGCGTAGCCCCGCGAGCCCCCTCTAAGCTAGGCGTTCTCTCACACGCAAAAGGGGACATCTCATCACGACTCTTGGTAGCAGGCACTTCTCCGTAGTGGGCACTCCACTCATCGTGTCGTCGTACGGGTTCTCCGCGAGAGGCTGTGGGGCCCAAGCCCGAGCGAGCGAGCGCGAGCGACCGCTGGTCGAGTGGGTCTAAGCGGCCGTGAGGACCTCTCCAAGAGTACCCGACAGTCCTCCTTCTCTCTCCATTCATTCAGCCATCCATCCATCCATCCATCCATCTATCCATCCAGCCAACCGACCGACCGACCGACCAAACATCTATCCATCCATCCATCCATCTATCCAGCCAGCGCGGAGAGAGCGCAGCCAGAGAGGCCAGCCAGCCGAGCCAACCATCCATAGACACTCTCTTCTCTCCCACGGAGAGAGAAGTGTATCCTCGACGAAGGTGGAGGCGAACCCAGTGTAGTAGAGTGGTACATCTACCATCGTCTCTCTATCGGCAGAGTCCAAGGACTCGAAGACCCCCGCGGGTGATTCCAGTCGGCCGCCGGCCGGCTCTGGCCGGCCACTATCCTCGACCCACGTGTGTGCCAACTGCTACTATCGGTGTTCGGTTGTGTACGCGGTGTTCATTTGCTCTGTTACCGTCGTCATCGTCATCGTCGTCGTCACCGCCGCCGCCGTGGTCGCCGCCGCCGCCGCCGCCGCCGCCGCCGCCGCCGCCGCCGTCGTCGTCGTCGTCGTCGTCGTCGTCGTCGTCGTCGTCGTCGTCGTCGTCGTCGTCGTCGTCGTCGTCGTCGTCGTCATCGTGGTCGTCGTTGTTGTCGACGTTGACGCAGGTGTCGTACCGGTGTGTCTCGGGCTGTGTTGCCGTGTCCTCGGTATCAACCGTTCGCGAGGAGAAGTGGCAGCAGAGTACCACCGCGTCGCCGAGTGTCCCGGATCGACGGTAAGCTCTTGTCCGTGCGGCGTCCATCTTTGTGTGTTGTCTCTACTCGGTGTCGGTGTCGGTGTCGTTGTTGTTGTCGGTACTTCCGTCCTCTGTCCTCCGGTCCGCCTCTTCACCGTGCCGGTTGTTGTCCTTGACCGTGGATCACAGCTACCCAGTGGATTTCAGTGTCGAGGTTGTCATCGCGAGGCCGAGTCGCGTTACCGTGTTTTTTCGTTCGCCAGCCGACCGACCGACCGACCGACCCGGTGCCCTGGCCCGGTGGTGACCGTCAAGCGAAAGAGACATGCGGCGGGTCGCACGGTGTCGTCGCTGGACGCGTCCAGCTGCAGCAACAACAACAACAGTCGTGCCTTTGGGCGCCGCGACGACGGACGCGTTTCGCGTGTTGATCTGTCGCGCAGCCTGTTGATCGTAAACCGCGGCCGGTTCCATACGTTTCACCGATCGATTCACTAGACTATACTTGGTTGGTGTACACCCGACCGATAAGGGATACTGTGCGGAGTTACTCGTAGAATTGATTCGAGCAGTGCCCGGCCCATATGAATGTAAACGAGCGTGATCGTGCATGAGACGACGACGATCATCATCCTTCGGCACCGGTGCACCGGTATCCAACCACCGGCTGCTACCCGCGCGCCGCGATGCCATAGATGAATCGTGAGGACGGTTCAACGACAGACTGTTCCCGTACCAAGGTGCAACCATTAAATCGTTCGAGCTAGGCGCCGGGGCAAGGAGCGGTATAGACGAGCTGCTCGTCGAGCTCTCCGAGGCAACGTCCGGCGGTGGTCCCCCCGGTTGTCCATCCGTGGTGGCAGGCCCATCATGTCGTTATCTCGCGGTTAGCGCCGGCCTCAGGATTCCGCGAAGCGCTAGCTTCAAATATTTCGACGGCGCTGGCCTCGCCGAGATGAGCGGTGGCAGCGGCGGCGGTGGCGGGAACAACGCCGGAAATCAGGGGAACGGAAATGCTACCGGTTACCATCAGCATCAACAGCAACAGCAACAGCAACAGCAACAGCAACAGCAACAACAACAACAACAACAGCAACAACAACAGCAACAACAGACACAGCTGGAGCAGGCTAGCTTGCTGCCAGATTTGAATGGGATTGACCTGGCGATGAGCTTGTCGCCTAAACAGCACTCGTCCCACGTACAAGCGGCCGGCGGCGCTCACACGACACCGTTCAGTGTCACCGACATCCTGTCCCCGATCGACGAGTCGTACCGGAAGCTGGAGCTGGCGATCGGCGTCGGCGTGGTTACGCATCCTCAAGTCTCACCTTACGGGAACGCGTGCGGCGGTCGGGTGGGTGGCAACACCGGTAGCTCGAGCGCGAGCAGCGGCAGTCCGCCGCTCCACGGAGGATCGACGCCCGGCGGCGGCACACCCGGACCGGTTTCCGGTGCGAACGACGCCGCCGCTGGAGGCAGCAGCGCCGCCGGCGCCGGCATGACCGCCATGGGCAATCCTTACGCCACCATGCAACTCACCTCGCAGTACCAGTACTGCGCGGCGGAATTGTCGCCGTATCACCACGCGGGACCCGCGGTCGCCGGCGGAGCGACCGCGACCGACCCCATGCGGTCCCATCACCCGTGGTACGCGCCGGCACCGCCGGCCACCAACGACCCACGGTTCGCCAGTGAGTATTGTGACATTCTTTGTTCCTATGGATTTCGTGCACTGATGCGAGCTCCGGGCTGATTAGAGCCGGATTCCATGTTCTTCGAAGATTCCGAAGGTATTTTTAGTGTTGCGGGTAAAGCGGGTGAAGCGGAGACGGGCGAGAGCTTCTGGCTGTCTCTGAAAAATATTTATCTGGTTAGCTCTTGGAGGACAGGGTTGCTTATAGGTGTTGTGGGGTGCAGAAGAAATATGTTTGCCATCGTTTGCCTGCGTATGTACGTGTTGGAGAAGTTACCTATAAAACGAAAATAAGGATGGAGAAACTGAATCTCTGCAGGCTAGGGAAATCTCTCTAGTTCATCTGCGGAGGACTGAATTTAGTTATCAGACAGTGAACTTTCTTGAGATTCTTATCTCAATGCACTGACATATTTATGAAATCCTGCGTCTCACTTCACAGCGGTTTATGGTTGAAGATGGAGTATGTGTCAAGATTGATCCGTTTTCATCGGTAGGACAACTTGTTCAGATCCGACGGTTTACGGTACTCCCCTAGAAGTAGTGGAATCCAAGGTCCACTTTATTGACGTATAGTTTCCTTATACAGTGGATGAAAAAATGAATAAAAGATCTGATTTTCGAAGAATGATTCTCCTCCACGTAGCGTGTAGTGTACGCTAAATGAAAATTGTAGAATAAAATAACTCGTGATATTAAAAGAATGTTACTCGGTTCGCAGTTCAATTTAGAAAGTGAATTTTAATTGTTCTTTTTGATGACTGATTTCTTAGTTTACCACGTAAGTGTTTCGAACCATTCAGAGTAAGAGACAGGCCTGTTTAAACGCGCGTCGAGGGAAAGTAACGCGACGACATGCCGAAGCAAACATGTCTCCTCGATAGATCATCCCCTTCGTCTTCGGCGGAGCACGTCTGTCACCCTTTTATCCGTCTCCCGTTGTCAAAGTCGCGGAATAGTCGTCGCTTAGGTCCATTTAGGTATCGATGAAGTGACGGAGTCGTGTTTCAAAGTCCACGACAGCCTGTTCTTTCGTGTCAGTGGTGCGCGACCCGAACTCGTGAATTGTTCCGTCGCCACATGGAAATGTGTTTCTATATTCTTCTACCCTTACATAAACATTCGAAATTACAAGTTTGATAATCTATTCGTGATCAGTTTTGTTCTGAGATTTTTTAATCTATAGATTCTAAACATATTTTGTATATTCCTTGGAACAATCTGATATTTCACTGACTTCATTTCAACAATCTTCGATCGCAAACATCGACAGATACAGAAAGTTCAATTCAACATTCATCAATTCTCAGGCTTCCCATTCGATAATAAATTACTCCAATCCCCAATTTTAGTTACTGACATATTAACCCTTAGTTCTCCTGATCGTAAAACAAAATACACTCCAAAAAGTTTACTTCAAGCCCCTTTCAACCCTCAACTGTTCTAATTATCAAATTAAACTAAAAAATGTGTGGTTTCACTAAAGCATTCACTAAAACCGTACTCCGAAACCAATCGATTTCTAAGTCCTCTCGAGAGGTCACGTAGAAATCTCCATAGATCGGATGTTTACTAAAAACTCCATTTAATATTCCCTCTTCCCAAGCCTCTTCTCCTCACAACGAATTTATTCCACTTCCCGACTCCAATAAAAAACGGGAGAAATAAAAATAAAACCGAAAATTCCCGATTCAACGTTCCTTTTTTCGATGATCGAAAGAAAGATCTGTCGTTCGCATAATTCGCGAATCGAAAGAACCGTCGAGGCGTACACGGCTACAGAGGATCCTGGCTGCCGAAAAACGATTGTTGGCCAACCGAGCCCTCGTCCTTGGGACTTGTGTCAACACCGTGCACGGTACTGTACGTATGTTTCCTTGGATTTTCTGTCGGCCGCACGCGCCACTCCGGTCACCGTCGAAGAGAGGAGACGTATCGATCCCCCGGACCGGCTGAGCTCAGGAGATGCGTGGCTACCGGACACTGCCGGAGATTTTAGTTAAACAAATAAGCCCGAAACCCTCCCCGTCGCTGGCAGCTTAACTTGGACCGTATTCAACCGTCGTTACCTTCACCGAAATTCAATTTTCATGGGGTGTCGCGGATCCGGGGGCAGAATCTTTTTCGATGAGAATTCGAACTCGCTCGTCGATATCTTTCTTTACAGTTCGAACAAAGACGGAACGGAACAGAAAAAGATCGTTCGTCGTTCCGCGAAATGGACAGAAGATAAAATAAAATGTAAATAGATTAGTTAAAATAAAGTATGAGCAAGCTAAAATGTAAACAGTATGTTGTTTTGAGAAATGGATGTAATATGAAGTGAAAGTACAGATCGTGTATCATAAAGTAGACAGAAGGCGAAAAACATACAAAATACAAGTAGTCTTTAAAATATATAGAGACCTGACGTTTGGAAAGATAGATGATAGGTGATAGTAGAAAAGAATCGCTTATCGTTTCAGAAGATGGATGTAGGGTAGTAAACGAAGATAGAAGAGGTCGTTTATCGTTTCGAAAAATAGACGGAAGACGAACGGGACGATGCAGTTCGCCTATCACTCGCGATACCGTGTAATTATCCGGTTGTCGAGGATTGGACGATCGTTCCTTCAACGCCGGTGGCCAGGTAGACGTCTTTTACGAATGTCAATTTCGTTAATGAGAGGCTCGTCCTCGTGTCCGCAGAAGTTACGTGGAAGTACCGGACCCGTCAGTCTTCTCGCCAACCCCCATTGTCCTGGGACCAGGTCCATGGATGGGAGGATCGAAACCTTTGGCTGAGGATAGATTTCATTGATGAGAGGACATGGTGGTTCGTGGATTTTAGTTCTCGTCATCCGATATGGTGCGTTGATTGAGATATTTGTTGGCAAGCAATTCCGAGACTGCTATCTTTCATGATAGTTGGAAAGTGTTGATTTGATAGGATAATGATACTCTTGGAATTTGAAGCATCGAATGGTCTCTTAATCTTCTGCTATCTTCTGAGATGAAAATTCTAAAGAATGGTGAATATTTGTTTTCATTTCTTGATCATATATTCAATTAGATCTACTACAGCCGTAAACACTGGTAGCAAAGAGGTATTGCTAGCCAATAGTTATTGTCCTGAAACTATTTAAAAACTTTGACTCGTCTCGAATCTACAAGCTTTCATTAGCAAACGGCTGATGATAGTTTGACTGTTCAGAATTTGATCTATCCGAGATCTGCAAATAGTTTTAGCAAAGAGCTACCGCTCGACTGTCCTAGATTTATTTAGACATCTTTCATCCACTTCAGAGCTGCGAACATTTTTTGCGGAGAGCTGCTGTTGCTCAACACTGTCCTAGAATTGTTTGAACACTTTGATCTACTTCAAAGCTACGAGAATTGTCAAATACCACGGAGTCATGCGTATGCTAAACAAACATCTAACAGGAATTTTAATACCTAAAATAGGAGAGTTATTATCTTGCAATTGTTGAAACCTACTTCGATTTACTCGAAACCTGTGGATATTCTTAGCAAAGATCTGCCGCTATACCAAGAATCATTGTCTTGAAATTATTGGAGCATCACCATTTACCTTAGACTTAGATTCTCAGCAAAGAATATCACATTCCACACTATCAAATTTTTCTATAGGCACTCTAAGGGACCAGTTACAGAGATTTCGATTGACTTGTGATTTAGTTTACATATTGGTAAACAAATTTCTTTAGTAATTTCTTAATCATGAAATACTTCAGTAGTTGTAAACGAAAAATTCAGAAATGGACCAATGCGGACCACTTGGTAGTTCCACTGTTAACAAACTCTCAAAGAAGCATCTGTGCTTCAGTAATCGTAAAAACGTACTACAAGAACTGGCCATGACAGTCATCTTGCGGTTACAATAACTTACAATAAATCAATTCAAGCGAATAAGGTTCTCCATTCCTCTTTCTCATTGTACACCATCAAAGATGCATTATTTTGAGTATCTACCTACTAAAACATTCTAAAAAAAACTAATTTATTATTCTCAACTAAAACCAATACGAAGAAATTAGGGATTGGCCATTTCGGCTCAGTTGGTGGTTCCAGTGTTAAAAACCCTTTTCTTCGAGTGCCTTATGGGTGGTCCCTGCCACCGAAACGTTCCACAGGATTCTTATCAATTTCTCGAGGAACGACCCGTAAACAAATTCTGTTTGCTCCCGAGTGGTGTCTCGAGTGGTGGTGTCCTCCTCGACGGGGCCCGCGGGCCGCGCCGCGCCGCGTTCTCACCGACGTCGTAATAACAATTCGAGACATCATCGTTGGACCTCCCGTGCTCTGGATGACACGGCAGGTTTCTCGCGAGGCTAAATCGCTCCTTTTGTCCGGGTCCGTCGGCGTCCGTTCTTGACAGCCCTTCGCCAACTGACAAGGAATGGACCGATGCCGGTGTCTGGGGTTTCAGTAGCTCGAATCCGGAGGCCCTCTTCCCGCTTTCCTCGCGCTGATGTTGCCACCTCGCCTGCCTGCACGATCGCCATTCCGCTTTTCTAGGTTCTCGTCATCCTTCCTTTCTCTCTTCCTCTTTTTTTTCTGTCCGCGCAACCAGAGAATCCTCTGGATTTCTTCGCGACTGGGTTCGTTGAATCTGTTTCACTATTAACCCTTCGCACTCGAAAGTTTATCGCCGGAAATAGTCTACACCGTCTAGTGAGATATAGACGACGACGCCATTTTTGTTTGCAGTTGGCTCTTGTTTATATAGTTTAGTACCTTGTGTATGTTTTCACGGTTTTGAATTTTGTGTTGAAAATGATTTATATCCTGCATTACGTTATGTATGATTGAGAATTTTTGGGAATCTGTGTAACCTTTATATTTATGTTTCCTAAGCGTATCGTAATGAAGACAAATACGCATTGCTATGGGAAATGACATTTGATACGAATTGCACAAATGGCACGATTTTAATAAGTCGAGTTAAGTAATGATCATCTCTTGCCTTCCATTTAGCGTTATCAGCCGGTTATCGTTATCAAAACTCGCGTGTCCCGAAATGATCATAGTAAGCAGATTCCTCTGTAACAGTAAATCCAGGATAGTCTGACCACCATAGGAAATTGGGTGCCGTTAACATTGTTAAATAAATAGAACCACAAGAAGACTCTGCAATCCAATTCATCTACAAAAAATGAATCAATCTATTATAAATCTCGCGCCGACAATCCTTGCAAAACTGTAACCGAGTCATAAGGTCAATTTTAACAAGTTTCCGGAAATGTGGTCAAGCTACCCCGGACTTACCCTATATTCGTGAAAAGAAAGAATGATACAG